TTAAACTATTTTTATAGCAAAGGGAAAAACTTCAAACTTTACTTCATTTAATCATTGTTTCTCTTTAAACTACTAGAATCTCGGTCCTTACATTCCTCCCAACAAGAAAAAAATTTGTCCTCGAAAATTCCAAAGGTAAGGAAAAATTTTCCTCATATCCCCCTCCAGTTTTCATGTTGCATCACCTGAGTTGATATCCCACAATACTTTCACTATACTAATCAGCCTAGCTCTAAGCTGCTTGGTCTGATGATCAGTGATCCTAACCAATATGACTTCACAAGATAAGTCCTCTCTAACTTGTACATCATCTGCTTCCAACACATGGCTAGGATCAGAAACGTACTTCCTCAATTATGATACATGGAAGACATTACGCAGATTGGCTAGTTGGGGAGGCAAAGCAACTTCATAAGCTACTGGGCCAATTTATCTAAGAATCTAGTATGATAAACTTAGGATAAAGTTTCTTGGACCTGATGACTCTCCCTATAACTGTAGTGGGCGTCACTCTAAAAAATACATGATCCCCAACATAAAACTCTAAAGCTCGTCTTCTCTGATCTACATATGACTTTTGTCTACTCTGTGAAGCCTTCATTCTCTTTTGTATCTGACGAACCTTGTCAGTCGTTTGCTGAAGCAACTCAGACCCTATTAACACAACTTTCCTATCTTGATACCAACAAAGAGGGGTCCTACACTTCCTCCCGTATAATGCTCAGAAGGTGTCATTCCAATACTAGCATGAAAGTTATTATTGTAGGTAAATTCCACTAGAGGTAGTATTTCATCCCAACTTCCCAAGTGGTCCAAAACACAAGTCCTTAACAAATCTTCTAAGAACTAGATCGTCCTCTCGTACTAACCATCTGTTTGGGGTGATATGCAGTGCTCAGTCTCAACCTAGTCCATAGTGCCTCTTACAAGGTTTGTCAAAACCTAGAGGAGAACATTGGATCTCTATTAGACAAAATACTTGAAGGTACTTTATACAGTCTTAATATCTCTCTTATATACAATTAGGCTAGTTTTGTCATGGAGATCTTCAAACTCATATGTAAGAAATGCACATTCTTAATTAACCGGTCTACTATAACCCAAATAACATTATGCCTTCTCACTGATCATGGAAGATGGGTTACAAAATCCATTATAATGATATCTGACTTCCACTCAAGCATATCCAATTATTGTTGCAATCCTCCTTCTCCCTGATTAGACGATAGGTTACACAAGCTTAGACAAAATTAACTTGTAGATTTATAGATTGACCCATTTTATAGAATAATAATAATAATTTTTTAAATAAAATTATTTTATTAAAAAATATACGTATTCTAAAAATAAATATAAGAGAAAGTCTATAACATCTACTTATTTCTCCATCTAGTAATTAACACGAATTATTATTTTAGATCAATAAATTATTAAAAAATAATTATGATAATAAAAAATAATTTTTAAATTTTTATGTTAAGATTAAATGAATCACTTCCCTTATAATTAAGTGTTTAATAAAAAAAAGTTATATAAAAATAAGACAAACACAATTTCTCAGTAGATAAAAACTTAATCAAGCAAAAACTTTATTGTTCGTCTTTTCCTAAAGTATGTAGTTTTATTGTCATATATATTACCCTAGAAGAATATGAGTAGAGTTGGCATGGCGGAATTTAGTAGAAAAAGAAGGAAAGCTATTCTAGTGGGCCTAGTTTGAAGATATGGGATTTTTTCCTTTCTTTCAGATTTTTTAAGTTCAAAAACTATTTTTTTTTTTTTTGTATGTTGTGACCAAACCCAACTTTTTATGTCTTAAGAACCTCAATCAACCCATTAGAGATAGGAAGGATATATATTGATAGAGACGTTGATGTTCATTCACTTGGAACATGATCAACAATATTCCCCATTTGTGGTAGCACGTTACCTTTTGAAAAAGCTTTTATGTTATCTGAGAGAGACTTGGACAATTGACACCAACCACACCCCTGCTCTACCTACTTCAATAAATTTCCTAATCTGACGACATTCCTCACATCACAACACAAAACCAAAATATCTATTTCCATAATGAGAGAAAAAAACAAAACATCGCTTAGGTCCCAACAGACCCACCATTTTTAACCACATTCAAAGAAAAAGGCTCACCCAGCCCACCAAAGACCTGAATCTCATGATTCCCCGTAGTGCAAAACAACAAGACAAGGATTGTAGCTATGTGTCCACTTCAGATTTTATTTTATTGTACCTTCTTATTTTAAGAAATATTTCATATCAATAAATATCATTTTATTTTATTAATTATATATATTTTGATCAAAAATATGAATGTTTTAATATAATATTATTCCTTTTAATATGATATTATTCCTTTTTTAGTTTTAATCTATTTAATTTTATTTTAAATGATGTTTTAATAAATTAATATATATATATATATATATATAAATTATTTATAACTTCGACTTTTAAACGAGTATTATAAAAAATATATCTTAGATTTTTAATATACCATCGAAACTTATTCATATTTCTGCATTCTGTCATCCAATTTTTATTTTCTCCTCTGTATTATGCAATGCAAACTTAAATAGAATAAAACAAAGCATTATCTCAAACTTCATCTTTTTCTTCGTTCATAGGAAGCAACACTTTTGGCCTATAATACGGATACAACATTTATTTTACTCTGTTTTCGCAACGTCTATCACATGTTATGTTATGAAAAATAGTTTACACAAATAAGATAAAATATTTTATCCAATCATAAATTTATGTTAACAGTTTATATGACTTTTTAAAAAATATTGTAGAAGTCATATGATTTGTGATTATAAAATAATATAAAATTCATTTTATGATGTCATTGTATGGTTTTCTTTAAAATATTAACTCATTAGAAACATTTTTTACATGTATAAATCAGCAATTTGTATCACCTTTTATGTTATTATTGTAAAATCAATAAATTTATAATACATGGTGTAATTAAGCGATAGTTTAAAATTATTTTCGTAGTGAATGCATAAATATATTTTACAAAAATAATAATATTATTAAATCAAGTTTTATGTAAATATTGTCTATTTTAGAATTTTATCAGTCATTATTTTATTTTTAAAAAATATCTTAATAGATTAAAGAAAGAGATTATATATACACTCCTGTAAATTTTTTATCAAAATAATAATAATATCTTTTATTTATACCAAATTTCAACATAAATTTATATTGAGATATAAGTGATTCAATAACCATTTATAATAAATTATATATTTTAATAATAATCAATTGATGATTAAATAATTTTAATATTATTATAATTAACTCTCAATATGATAATAAAAATAAAAATATATTTAATTTAATTTTTCAGTAAGTTAATAATCTTTCTATAAACAGAAATTTTATCGCAATGCTACAGAGAATAATAAAATTATTATTATTAAATAAAGGTAAAATATGTTATACCGTGACTACATTTAATTTTTTTAATATTTTTATAACAATTTATATAAATGATTTCATACATTTTAATTGTATTTAACTATTTAAATTAGTTTATTAAAAATGAACTTCACTCAATTTAAAATAAAACGGGTCCATATTAATTTATAATGAAACGGATGTTTAACCTATTTTAAACATGTATTTTCCCAACTAATTATCATCCTATTTGTGTTTAGTTTTCCGTTTCCAAACTAAAAACTCTTTTAGCATAAATTTTTTATTAAATTAATTTCAATAAAAATTAAAACATAAAACTATTAATCATTACTTTTTTTTTCCAGTTTTTCATGTTAACGATGTCACGATATTGTCACTTAGAAATATTTTTCTTAATTTAAATTTTTAAATAACTATTTTTCTGAAAGAGAAGTATGAAATAATCAAACATAATAATTATCATTGCAACGATGGGAAAAACAACAAAACGTCTTGTCGTGCAAATATCTTCCACCGCATAGGACTCTTTCCGGTCCCCCTCTTCCCACTTGCTGGAATAGTTAATTAAATTATGTACGAACAAAAAATAAATTAAAATAGATTGAGATTTTAGATAAAAATATATTTATTTTCGTAAGAATTTTTTTTTAATATTATTCTTATCTTAGTTTTGAAAATTTAATATTTTACTAAAATTAAAAGAATAAGTAGCAATACTAAATATCAAAACGCTAAAAAGGAGTTATAATAAATTTATACGTTTCATTTCTATTTCAAGAAACATTGTTTTAAAAAAAGTTAAATTAATCAAATATGTTAATTCATCAAACAAATATAATTTAATTAAAAAAACCTGTTGGATAAATAAATTATAGATTGTGTGAATGGCTTATAAAATATATTTTGATTTAAAAATCAATTTGATAAAAATAATTAAAGGAATATAAAAAAATAAAAAAAGAGAAAGAAAAGAAGAAGACAAGAATTATAAATAAAATAAGTTGATGGGATAGAAAGATTAAAAAACAGCATTAACATTAATAGAGTGTTTTAAAGTGAGATGGTACGGTGACGTATGATTACTCATAATTAAAATATATGCAAATAAAGTAACGTTAGATATGGTAGGGCAAGAATGGATAGTTCACCAAACAAACAGCGACTTAGTTTCCAGATGAAGAAAGTTTAGTGATAAAGAGGAAAAACTAAAGAGCAAGACGTCAAAACTCAAAACTAGTTAGGAAGGCAATACCATAAAAAGACCAATCAAAATAAGTTCGTGGTTGAGGTCACAGAAGAAAAGAACGCATGACAATAACCAAAAGCACATTCTTCTTTCTTCTCATACATTCCCCAAATCACTACTACAGTATACTATTACTATTACTATCTAAGGTCTGAAAAGGGAGGGATAGGAATTTAAACGTGGAAGTGTGGCTACCATAAATCCAGAAATGCACTAAAACCCGTTACATCATCATCGCTGAAAAGGGTAAACCGGAGATTCAGGGGCATGTGGGTGAAGTGGTTTAAACCATCGAGGACCCTCCTCAAAATGGAGCCGTAGATGCTCGATATAGGCTACCCTTCTTCTTTTTCTCACTGGCTGCAACATCACTCAACTGCAATGCAATCACATAGGGAAACACAATCACCTTCTACTACCACTGCAACATCAAACCACACATATATACATATACTTACTCAAACCATGAACTACTGTTTTTTACCTATACACGACTTATATATATATATATATATATATATATATATATATATATATATATATATATATATATATATATATATATATATATATATATATATATATATTTGAAAGATATTTTATTACTATTATTCTGTCTTTTATCTCTCTTCCTATTGTTATTCATCACCGCCTTCTTTCTTATCTCTCTTCTACTTTTATTAGACTGCAATTTTTCCTCATGTACAGAAATGAAATTTCTCTATCCATTATCATACCTGTTTTTGCTGTCTTTTGAGTCTTGCATTCTCTTCCTTTAATTGCTCAACTTCTACCTCCAGTTCGTTCGTATAAGCCTGAAGAAACAGAAAACGGAAACACGTTAAGCGATTTTTTTGTAAATAAAGAAAACGAAAATGGTGTAAGCCACTTAATATATATTGCAAGGTTATATATGTATATATTTATACATATGCTCTATTTTGTCAACAGTGATAAACTTTTTTATTTTGTTTTATTTAATCTTATCACTGTTGTTCCTTTAACTCAGGAATCCTCGACCTAAATTTGTGGAACTACTAGTTCAGTTAGGACTGGTTAAACCTAAAATTGTGGCAGATAAATCCAACCGTCGGAAAAATTAAGGAGCAAAAAAATGAAGCTAAATTTTCCTGTTTCCTAGCCCGCGATCGTGCAGCAGACTCGCGGTTCTTGATCATGCGCTTGTTTCTTCTGTCGCCGAGGTTGCAATCGGGTTCTGCGAATCTTTTGGCGCCTAAGGAGGTGGGGGGCGGGGTGGTGAAAGAAGAGAGGGTGGAGGGTAGAGGGTGGTGGGGGTGTGAGGGTTTGGGAGTGAGAGGGTCGAAATAGAGGTGGGGGTGAGAGCTAAGGCTGAGAGCCGTGAGGAGCGGTGGGGCCGGGGAGGAGGGGGAGCAGTAGAGAGAGGGTGTTTGTGAGGAAAGAATGGTGTTTGGTGGGTCAATGGTGAAGGGTCGAGCGAGAAAGTCTTGGAGGATTACCCCTCCCAAGTTGGATTGGGTAGTGGTGGGGCGTGTGACTTGCTCATTTAAGGTTGCAAGGTTTATGTCTTTCCACACCTCTTCCATTGTTGGCAAATGATAGTGATTTTTTTGGAGTTTGGTGATTAACTGGTTTGGTAGGATTGGGCAATGTTGCAAAGATTGGTGGGATTTGAGGTTATTGAAGATTAATACATGGTTGAGAAAGAGAAATAGAGGTGGTGATAGGAAGGTCCATGGACTAATAAAGAAAGAAGGGGGTAACTGAGGGAGAGGGTGAGTGAATCTGTGGAGAAGCGTCACAGTATGTTTGGTTGGTTTTGTTTTATATTTTGCAGCTCTCTGTGCACTCTGTGTGAGTAGTCATTTCGAACTCTCGACACGTGACACGCGCGCCAGCCAAAACCCTAACCAATAATAAATTAATTAATTGCCTTTCCTCAACTTCTTCACCACTTCTAGTTTCATGATTACTTGCTAATTTTAAGAAAATGATAAGTGTTTTTTGACATGCATACATGATGATCCTAATGTCACAAATGGACATTATATATATATATATATATATATATATATATGTATATATATATATGTATATATATATATATATGTATATATATATGTATATATATATATGTGATGATGATGATGATAATGCCATATCCCCGTTTGTATTGTTTGTAATCATTGAAGGCACGATAAAGTTTAGAACTCAAATAAACTTTATAACATAACCAAAAGAATGATTTTAAAACTCATGATCGTACAAGCTCTGGAGGTGGTATCTATTTTACATTTTTTTCCTCCAACCTTAAACCCTAATAAAACAACAAAGAGTGGATTGCATAAGAAGCATGTCAAGTTAAGATTGTTATGATGTGCTGTACAAGAACAAAGTGATGTTGTGACAAATGGGACCAGTTTAATGGCTGATCCTATGCACAATAGCAACTCTAAGCCTCATCTTTTCAATGCATGACGTTAGCTGTTTACCAACTGAAGAAACTCGATATGGACCATCAAAGCTTTTCATGTGCACAATATCATTGTTTTCTGTTACTAAGAACACACCCACCCTTGTGACATGTGCAGCTGCTTCAATCACTTATTCAAGACTCGTTTTTTTTTTTTTTAATTATCTTTTCCTTCTTCCTATTTCTTTCTACTTATAGCATCATATTTCTCATAACTTCATCATCTTTTTTTCTCACTTTTAAGTGCAGATGGGCGTTATTTTTCCTTCATGTAACTCAATGACCCCATCATTAGCATGGACAAGTAGTGGAGAAAAGATAACTGTGATAATTAATTTTCTTGGTTCGATGTGTGGGAAGGAACTCTCCCTCTAATAGTAAGAGAAAATATGGAAAGAAGGTGAAAAATGTCTTTAGAAATTTCAAGGTGATTTCCAAATTGGTTACTGTTTGAGACAAAACAGTAGTAACGTGATACTAAGCAATAAAAAGAAAAACAGCAACAAATTGAACACTTCTTCAATCATTTCAAAAAAACAACTCAGTTTCTGAACTTGGTTCAAAAAAAGCTGATTTATTTTATTCTCCAAATAGAGAGCAAGTTCTCTAATCCAGATACCAGTCAACGAAAGATGGTCCTTCATCACTTCATGCATTAATTGCCCACGTTTATAAACATGTACAAATAAAACAAATAAAAGTAACACAAATGACAAGTTTTTGTACATGTCAATCCTATAAAAATTATTTTTACAAATTTACTATACCATGTGTAATTGTTTTAACTTATAAATGCTTATTTGTAACTTCAAAATAACTAGAACTTACCAAATAGTTTATTTATCTAGTAGCTTTCAAATGTATCAATAAAAAAATTTTATCGACTAGATTACAAATATTAATTATTGTTAGTGTAATGAAGATAGTTCTATACAGTGTTATTACCGAAATAAAGGTAGTTATTAATACAAAAAAAATAAGTTGGTCAGTCAATTTTTAAGTCTCTCCTTCAACCTCTTTTATTGGAGAAAGTCCAGAGGTCTACTAAAGCTTATATTAAATATAAGAGTGATATATTTTAGAATAAATTATGAGATGAGGTTATACTCTCTAATTAAATCTTTTATATAATATTTAAAAAATAATAATTGATCAATATATAATAATTAATAGTTCACCAAAATAAAATATTATAACAATTTAGATAGAATATTAGCGTCACCATTGAATTAAGAGACAAATCTAATTTCACTTATACTTCTTAGTCTTCGACTGGAAGATCTATATATTGGTAAATTCATGAGTATTAAATCATTTAAGAATCGAAATCAATGATAGTTTATATATATAATTCTCTCTTAATTCACTAATATATTTTTTAAGGACAAAATCGTGACATATTAAAATTTCAAAAGAATAATACCTTAAATGTAAAAAAAATATAATATTATCATTATGAATCTTAGAACAAAACATACTCATTACTAGAGGATATATTTTAATTTTTCTTTTCATTTATTGAGAATCACTAAAAATTATAAAATCTTAGTCAGATTTATTAAATTTGGAGCAAAACCTAAACATATTCTGATATGATAAATTTTGATGAAGAGAGTTAAAAAAAAAAGTGTTGCTTTAACGAATCCAGTTTAATATTTAAATCCTTCATTGTATTCAATGGTTTGTTTCGTGTTTTTCTTTTCTTTTTTAGATAAAGGAATGAAAAAAAATTCAAATAGCTTTTTTGGCTCGTCGATTATTACAAAATAATTTCAAATATAAAAATAATTAAAGCAAACGTAAGAGTATTCTAAGGAACAAAGCCTACATTTTGCTTATGTAAAGTAGAGAAAAAAATAAAATTAAAAATTGATAATTGAATAAAAAAAATAGGAACTTTTTTATCGTAGCTAGGTCTGACAATGTAAAGAAAAAAACCGTACACATAGGCATAGCACGATGCTGTCGAATGTATTAACTTTGGAAAATAAAAATATGAAAAAAAGAAAGGAAAAAGAAAAGAAAGGCTGATGTTAACCCACTTGTTGAGCCCCAAGAGGAGGCGCTCCATAATGTTTTAAGGACATGCCGATTTGACACGTGCATCAGTCCCTCAAGTACACATGTCATATGTCGGATACCTACCAATCACTATTTTTTTTTTAACATGTAACACATTGATTCAAATAAATTTGCAGAAATATTATTATGTACCAGTATAGCAGTGGAAACACAAGGTTACAGTATGTAAATATCTATATTTTTTATAATTAATTGTTTTTTAAACAATTATTTGTTTTTAAATATATACATATATTTTTTTAAATACATATAAAATATAAAAATTTGTTTTTAAAATTATAATTTTTTCATGACAATAAAAAAACATTTATAACAAAATTATTTTATATATAGTTATAAAAACATGGAAAATGAAAAAAAAAACTCAAAATGGGTGGAAATTAATAAATATATTTTTTTATCATAAAGATTTTTATTTGGGTTTTGATACAGTTTTTTAATCATTCATTTTTATAAAAAGTCCTTAATAATACATTAGCAATATGAGTATAACTTTATTAAGAAAATATGGGTTAATTATGTTGCATTTCCTTGTATTTTGTCATGAAAAATGATTTTGAAATTTGATTAATTAATCTTTAAATCTTAAAAAGGATCAGTTTTTTTATCAATTTTATGATTTTAAATTATTTTAATAAATGTCAAATTTAAATTTATTAAAAATGATGTATTATGTTAATTATAGTGTTTTTATAAATTTTGTGGTAATACAAATATATTACTAAATGTTAAATTTAGGCATAAAAAATTCAATTTAAATATTTTTAAATTAAATAATTAAATAAATCATTTAAATTTTTAAAAACTAAAATAAATTATATATATATATATATATATATATAGGTTTAAGTTTAATTAATATTGAAAGTTAAATATATAACATTAGTTTTAATTGTAATTGATGTCAAAATGTTATAATATATATTGTGATGTAATACATTCAGTTAAGTTAACAATTAATGTGGAATGTTATAGATTCTAACCTTGATTTCAGTTACACTCCATGTTAAAAAGTTGTAATATATATTATAATATCTGATAGTGGTATTTTTTATGTTTGATTAAGGCAACAATGAACGTAGAATGGGATTTTTTTATATTGACTTTTATCACAATTGATATAGAATTTTTGTATTGTTTTCAATGTAGTATTTGCAACGATGTGATATTTTAATATAAAAATATATTTAGTTGTTTAGAAAATTTTTTAAACAAAATTTTAGTTGAATAGTTTTTATAAATATTTTATCTTTTTAGAATACAACTCTTTAGATTATTTTTAAATTTATTATTCTAAAATTATTGTAAACTTTAAGTCTGAAAGTGATAGGAGAATAAAGAGGAATAATGCTTGAATTGAGCAAAATTTTCAACGAGTAAATCATTTCTTTCATTTTATTAATATAATTGAAAAACCTTGTTTTTAAACTCTATTTTCACCTAAGTGGTTTGTTTCAGCAGAGGTATATATTTGGTAATTATAAATATACTATAAATACAATATAATAAAATCATAAAACAATAAAAAATATAATGATAGATATTTATTAATTAATATTTAATTTTAAATACATAATATCATATTTTAATGTAATAAATAATTTTGTGTTGATTTGTTTTGATTTTTTATTTTAAAATAATTAGATAAAAAAATTGATTGAAATTTCGATTTTTTTATATAGATTTATCGATTCAATTTTAAAGACCCTAACCTGCTTGCTTTATAGTATGTTTGGTTTCCCTGTTCAAACATGCCTTAAAGCCATGTTATGAGTTCCACTTCCACACCCACTTGAAGGCTAGCTTAGGATATATACTTAATTTATAAAGAATTTTGCTAGAGAAAAATAAAAGTAATTATTTAAAAATTAAAATTAATTTATAAGTAAATTAATTTATAATAATATATTTTATCTCATAAATCTCAGTATGGAAAAAGATAATTGAAACATATGTTATGTTTTGTTTACTATATACATTACACGTGGCCAAAAAAGTCATTGGAACCACGAATGGACTGAGTCATCACATGGCATAATATTCTATACCGTGCTGTATCTGTTTAAAAAGAAAGAAGAAGATCATGACAGAAAAAAAAGTTTTAAAAACATATAATATATTATTTAAATTTTATAATAAAATATAGTTTTTCCAGATAATTTAAATTATAATAGAAAGTTTTTAGTAATTAATGATTTAAATTATTAATGAAATTAAAATGTAATTCATGGAGATTATAAAGCAACTGTCTATATATATATATATATATATATATATATATATATAAATATTGTTTATATAATAATTAAGATACATATTTTTTTAATATAATTAAACTGTTTTGTCAAGTTTTCGTATAAATAAATGATTATATTATAATTTTAATTACAAAAAATATTTTATCAATTTTATATTAAATAAACAATTAAATGATTCTATATTGATATATGTAATTTTAATTAAAAAATATTCAAATTTATAAAAGATCATAATTAATCACTAATATATATAAAGTTATTATATTTGTGAAGTTTCTCTTTCATAAATTTTAGACGTGAAAGAATTTTTTTTCTTATATACACAGTTAAATAACATTTAAATTTATACAAACGTAGATCATTTAATAAGATATTACTACTTATTTTTCTAATGACAAATAAAAATTTAATAAATTTTTAAAAATTTAACCAAATATAAATATTTATATAATTATTATATAAAAAAATATTTTATTTTTAAAATAAGTATTTTTATTCATTTTTATTTAAATTTTAATAATTAAAACAAAACCTTAGTCATGAGTCTAACTCGTCAACTGGACAGCTGTCTACTTTTAGCATGTGTGAATATCTTCCACATTTCAATAATTAGTGTACCCATAAATACTAATATTAATATTATTTAATAATAATAATAATAAAAAGATTTTTTTTTTAAATTTTTTAATTGAAGGACCCACTTTCTTTTGCTTTAACCACAGTAATTGTTCCCACCTCATTTTCCCATAAAAGTATCTCTATTCCCATGTCACCTTCTAAGTACCTACTACCTACTACTTACTCTTATCATCTCATTTTCTTTTTCTTTCTTCTCCTTCTTCTTCTTCTTCTTCCACTTACCATATGAAGAGGAGACACAACTTCCTTTAAACATAAACCTATTCTTCTTCCTTTCCTTACTTGGTACCTACAAAACAAAACCAAACCAAATCATGCAACATTTTCATTTCCCTTTCTTCTAACGATTGGGATCATCATCAGATTTATTAAGCATCACTTGAAGGAAATGTTGCAAGCTAGCTTCCAGTTTTTCTTCAGCTTCAATAATGATAATGCATACACTCACACTAACGAAACCTTTCGCATCAAAAATGGTGTGATTGATTGAGACCCATCGACCCATGCCACCACTATTAATGCACAGGTGCTCAGAATCAACTTCAAGTAAAGACACACTCTTGTTTTAGAAAATTGTTTTATTTTTATGAAAATAATATAAATATATATATATATATATTATTATTGCATTTGAATTTTTTTTTAACTGAGGTACTTCTAACGTGCTTTTGAAACAAAAGTAAATATACAGTTTTTAAATAGTTTTTTTATTTCTTTATGATACCCTAGATTAGATTAGAATCAAATCTTTTGTGAAAGGCATATAATGGATATTTGTCAGGTAGCACAAATTGTCCACTGGTATGAAAGTGGTATTGGTTAGTAACCGTTGGATGGGTAAAAATACTACAATATAACTCGATAAATAACTAATAGTATATATATATATATATATATATAAAATCCATGTTTATTAAAATATAATAATATAATATATAAAAGTATATAATTAAGTTGATTTTTATAAAATTGAGTTAGTTCTAATATGTTATTAGAATTAATTTTAACGTGTTGGAATATAAAATAAGAAATGTAAGAAAAGAATTATTCTTAAAATAAGATAAAATTTTATGTTGATTAAAATATAATATTATTATAATCTTTACTTCACCATTTTATTAAATTAAAATTTTAAGAATAATTATAAATTTAATATCATATTTAAAAAAAATCTTGTTATATTGGTATATATTATTTTTTATTGGTAAAATTATTCTATTATTAACTGTTGGAAAGAAGAGGGAGATGGTGTCCTACGTGATTGGAAGGAAAGGTGCAGAGTGGTACTCCAGAAGGACCAAACAATGTCTTAGAAAATCATTAAAGAGCAACACTTGGCCAAGGCATCATTCTTACGTGGCACTTTTTTTATTTTTTATTTTTTATTTTTAAGATACTCAGCTGTTTTTAAATTATGTTTTTCTTTTCATTCATTTAAAAAAAAATTGTGACATTATTTCTTTTATATTTTATTTTTAAGTTAATGACTTGTTAAATAAATAGTGTGTCCACTTTTTATTAAAGAAAATTGGAATGAAGATAGATGGTTTCTGTTTCTCATGTTTTCATAACAAGAAGCAAATCATTTTTAAAACAAATTAAAAAAATAAGTCAAATAATAATCATCTAATTTTCATGTTTTGAGAAATTTAGCTTTCTTCCATATATTTATATTTACTTAATCATTTAAATGGAATTTTTTAACTTTTTAAATGATACTATTTTCTTTTAAATTCAAATTGTTCGTATATTTTTACTCAAATTTTGACTTATATATATATATATATATATATATATATATATATATATATATATATAATATAATATAATATAATATTTTAATAAAATCATATATTTAAATGTGGATTTATTAGACATAGTCCATTTAACTTGTAGACCAACTGTGTTTCTTAATATGAATTACTACTTTATTGATTAAATGCTATACTTTTTCTTAAATATGATTTTTTTATTATTATGTTAGAAATTTTGAGCTTTTTTTAATGTTTAATTATATATGTCATATGTTTTGATTAATATGACATTTTTAACATTTGTAACATTATCCCATGGATTAAGATTAACAACTACACAATTAAGTAACCATGTTTTTTATAGATTAAACATGAGAAAAATTATCATTTTGTTTATTTTCTAATTAAAATTAAAAGAAATCAACAGGGAAAATGGAAAATCCACATTCCTCTTATTTATCTCTTAATATAACTCGATTCAATTCTAAATCCCTTCAAAACATGCAATTGACATTCCATTTCACTAAATTAGTTTACCCTCAATTCTTTTGGCAAGTGTGTTATTTGTTGCCAATTATGAATCCAAACTCATAAGTAGAAAAAAAAAAAAAAATCACAAGAGACACACATATTCTTACCTATATTTCTTGGTGTAAGAGATATATCATCAATAAGTTAAAATTCCCAAATACTTATCCAAATTATAAAAGAATTCTACGCTAATCAATCTAATGCAAACATTAAACATAATCTACAGACTCCAATAGGGAGGAGAGTTTTTATAGAAAAAAAAAAAATTCAAATTAAGTGTAGCTCTAACCTAATTCAAATAGGAATTTTCTTAATCGTATATATTTTTAATATAAAATAATAAATAAAAAAATCTTCCTTATTTTCTTAATTACATATTCTCTTTAATTTCTTTTTTCTTAAAATTTTATCTCACATTTATTTATTTTCAAAAATGCATAATTTTTTTTTAAATTAATATATATCAAACTTGAATAAATTAAAACAAAAAACATAATAAAAATACAAACACAAGACACATTTGTTTGTTTTTCATTGTAAAATTTAAACGATTTCTTATTTCTTATTTCTTTACTAGAAAAAGTGTGGTTTTATAATTTGTTTAAAATAAATAAATTCAATCTCACTTTTAAAAAAATTTAAATTATATTGTTTACATATTTAAATATGTTCAAATGTATTTTGTCATTTTGCGCGAAATTGAAATGTTGTAACCTATTTAAAAAATAGATATAAAGATATATTACACCTCCTTTCCAATAAATTTAATTAATAAAAAATTAGTTGAATTTCTCTTATAAATAATATTTGGGATTTCACACGTTTTGCGTGTTTTCTCATTTTTAAATACTTTAACAATAAATATTTCAGAATAAAATTATTTTCAAGTATTTAATTAGCTTTATGCTAACTTATTTTGTTGATTTGTATTTTCAACTGTTTTTAAAATTAGATTGGTCAATAATAAAACAATGACGTAAATTTAGGGTTTAATTTTTTTATCAAATTTAATAAAATAATATTTTATAATATAATAAATAATTAACTGTTGTTATTATAATCATTATAAGTCATAATAAAATTTTAAATATAAAATATAGTAAAAATAAAATATTAATAATCATAAAAACAAGAGAAAATATAAATAAAATATTTATTATTTAAAATTAATATAATTTGTGTGAAATAAAGAAGAACAAAATATATCCTTTAAAAAATTGTTTTTTTTATTAAAGACCCAAAATCTCAATTTATTTTTTCGATTATATATTAATTAAATAAAAAAATAATTTTTTAAAAATAACATACTAATCGATTGAATGGATTGATTTCGGGTTTAAAAATCCTGGTATTTCCTTTATATCCACCTATTCACCTCCCAATTGGATCGACACCAACTCACTCACAAAACAAACCCTTCTCTTATTTTCTTTGGAGCTTGGTCCCGTACCAAAACCTATGTTTATTCACCAAACTACTTCAAGCGACTTTCCTCTCACCTAGTTTCAAGCGTGTCACCCTATTCACACTTGGCAAACCACACTAATATTCCAAAACACCCTAGTCTATATCTCTTTACCATAGTACCATCCATGTAAAGAAGTTGTTCTTTCAACACACTTCAACAATACTTTTTTTTTTTTCCTTCGTTTCTCTAAATGTTAAAAAACTAATATTCCTCAACTTTCAAAGCTAGCGAAATCAACTCTTATAGATAAACACGTTTGAAAGACACATATATACGTATATTTATCTATTCCTCTAAACACCTCAACCTTATACTTATACCAAAGAATTTCAAGAAACTTGTGCTTCGGTGCCATCGCTTCCCTTCAGTCATTTACCTGACCAGCTACTGCTTTCTCCAGGAAGAAAATATAATGGGAAAATCAACAAATTTGGCAGTGTACTATGTAGTGAAGCAATTTCTTACTTATATATAAATATATTAAAATAACATGAGTCGTTTTATTCATGTAATAAACTATTAACACGAAAAAGGTTTATTAAAAGTATTATTCAATTTTAAATGAGCACCTGCTATACTATGTCAATCGTAAAATATACTTTCTTACGTTTTAATAAAACTGATTAGTCCCATAACACCAAACATCGTAATAAACAAATTACATGAAACCCTGGTAAAAAGGAAAAATGAAGAGGCGGTGTTATGGAATGATCAAATATAGATAGGTTCAGAATCCATGGAACTTCATATATCTAAATAGAGAGGAATATAATATCCAACTTATACAGCTGCAACCTGTATAATTAAAGTCTTAATGGCCCCACTGGGACCACTTGAGGGTTCGGTATTTTTGCGAGGTTCAGCAGATGAAAAATATAAATATCAATGTCATGGTAGATATGACGTAACGGGAGAAATTATAGCAAGTGACATGAAGCGATCAAACTTTATAGTAGTAGTAGTAGGACAGAGGTCAGGTCCGGCGGCAGAAAGCTATATTTGCTCTTCCATCAGTGGCATCGGTAGCTATCAACAAACACATTCAACACCCATGTCAAGAGTGAACAAATATAACACATGCTCCTAAAACTGGTGATGGTGGCAAAGCTGACCCCAAAGATTTTAAAAAGTAGCCGAGGGGCAGCGGGAACACAGACAAAAATTCCCCATATTGAAGCAAACATTCCCCCCGTAGGAGTGACAGCATTATACCCATAACGAAAGTATTCACAAGAGTCGTGCAACTAGCTCCAGAATAAAAAATAAACATAAAATAAAAAGAAAAGTCTTTTCTGTACTTTCTGTGAGAGGGGAGAGGGAGCTGTTACCATTTTTTCTGTTTTACCTATGTATTTTCCTTCCATTTCGCAATCATGTTTATCCTAAATATGCCTCGGGCAATCATTTCCTTTTGTGCCATAAGCAAAGACTTAGACCATTCTTAGAATCCTGCTTCCCGTGTCCCTCTTACGAGCTCTTCAAAAAACACAAAGTGCTAATGCACATCTAAAACTCTAATTTCTTGCTGGAATAGAGTGATTTGAGCCTTGAATACCAACTTGACCAGTACCCTCACTAGTGGAGAGCTGCAATGGACTACTCAAATCCCCAAACGTAGACCTACGTTGTGAAGTATCAGATAGAAAATCTAGTCCTCCTGCACCATCATAGTTACTTGTCTCCAGAGCAATATTGTGTACATGTTCTGCCAGCATGTCAGGCTCTCCAAGTGTTGTAGCATTAGGAAACTGAACAGGAGGAGGCATGATCCATCTCCTCCAATCATTTCGTCTCCTTATTTTGTCACCCTATAATAAAAAGACAATAATTTTAAATCAAGAGATTTAATAAATGTTAGAATAAAGCAAAAGAGAGAGTATTAACTTTTTTCCTAAATACTCCCAATGAAATCATGTCTACATTCAAACTCAAATCTCCAGACAATATTAAAAAAGATACCTGCACCTCAACGGCAGATGAATTTCGAACAGCCTCTAATATAATCTGGATATTGTCAGTCAAATATATAACCTGACACAAAAATATTCATTTTTGGGTAAACAAATAATGCTACAACTCACATCCAAATAGAAGAGATTATTAAATCGATGCATAACTTGAACTGCAGCATTTTGTATGATAATTCAAGAACTGCAATACTAAAATAGTGAACATTAAATTGTACAAAAACTGGAGCTTGAACAGCATTTAATATAATCTATATTGTCAGGCAGATGAATAAACCTGGTAGATAAAATATTCATCACTGGTAACAGATAACGCTACAACTCACTTCTAAATAGGAGATTATAAATGATAGCATAATTTCAACTGCAGCAGTACAAAATTAGGACAATATTCAACACTAATTAGTGACCATTACAAACTACTAAAACTGGATAATAATAAGGCATTATGCTCAAAACAATCACACACATTATTTATCCATTGTCATGTCACCTGTCAATCATATTTAAGATTCTAGATTACTGAGACCAATTTCTGTATACACCCAAACGTAAGATGTTTCACATAAAATACGAGTATGATGTTTCAAGCAAAGTCGAAAAGCATAAAGCCTTTATATCTATTCAAATACAGCCCGTGTGAGGTAACAGTATTTCCATGTCAACATACAATTCCCACCACTAGACATACATATCTCATCTAGGATGAAAAATAACAAAGAGCTAAAGTTAGAGTTATCTATTTTTTCAATTTTTAGCTGTTCTCTTGGATTTAAAATTCAATGTTCTTTTTAATGTATGATGCGTACATTACGCATAGCCTAAATTTGACTCTAATACTCGTGCTTTCATTTGTATTACTTTTTTTATGCAAGAAACAACACAAGTAAACGATTTCCATGTCAACAACCAGTATGAAACATCTGCCATTTTTCATCATATCAATGTCTTAAAAAATGCATTTTTTAATAAAGGTGTATGTATCACTGTGAAAACTAGACTTCTGCAGCACATTAAATATTATAATAAAAAAACAAATACAAGATTCATGAGAGAACTAGGCCAAAACTCATAACAAAATTAAACAAATCTAAATTCAAGTAAAACCATTTCTAAAGAAATCATACCTAATAAAACTAGGAATATCTCTCTACTGAACAAAATTATTTCTATGTTTAAGACTATGATTAGCTAACTTATCAACATATGCATTTCTTTCCCTAAACATGTGAGAGCACTTAAAGGTTGTAATGGAAGAATTGAGCAAAATTAAAATTTTATTTGTTTAACCAGAACCTAGCTTAACCTTTTAACCAAGCGCTGCTATATGCTGTAAAATTTTCCTACAGTAACTTCTTCGTTTCCCAAGTTTAATTTTGTAACACAACATTATTGATCAAAAACTTGGATCCGTATCCCTTGTTAAACAGAACAGCATTACTTTGAAGAAAAATCAAAGACTGAAATTTGAATCTAGCAGAAAATTCAAACAAGTGCTATGTAGGATGCTAAAATCGTAGCACTTTCAATGTACCTTAATGTTACTTCAATGATTTCAATGCAAAACTTTATCTTAGAGAGCCATGATTTTCCCCACACTTTGGACATATTTTCTACTGAAATGGTGCAAACTGTGCAACCATATACATGAATGTATGGAAAGAGCAACAAAATTAAAACATGATAAAAACAATAACATTTCATTTGTCTTTTGCAGCATTGTCCAATCAAATCCTAGCCCCAAGAAACACCCAATCAGTCAATCCAGTAAAAGACAATTGATCATACGAAACACTCAGATACAATTTAATCCATCTACACTGCAGTAGGTTAATTATTTATGTATTTTTTTAAACACATTTTATGAGTCAGTCATGAAAACAACAAAGCAATGTATTTCTTTCTCCCTCATAAATGCAATCATATATCCCAAACAACTCACTTTGTTGAAGCCTGCAATTAATTTTATGGGAACCCAGCCCTGGTCATCCATGTTCTGCCGCAAGAATGTATCTTTTATTAAATTCTGATTACTGCAATAGACAAGTTGTGGTACGACTACAGTCAACTTTCGAAACCAATGAAAGACAACAAAATAACAAAAACAACACACTGAAAGACCAAAGTAAAAGCAGTACCTAAAATAGTAGTCAATCTGGGTGATTATCTTATTTTGCAACTGAGGGTCCGGACCTGTAAAGAACAGGGGATGATGTTGCATGGGAGGCACAAAAGGAACACTTCTCAGTGAATCTGGGGGTGGAGGAGGAGCTGCAACGAACACCATCGGTGGTGCTAGTTCTGGAAATGAATACAGATCTGAGCTTGTTCATGTATTGAAAGAAATTACCAGGACAAAGACAATAATACATCATACCATGGAATCCAATGTGGCCACCAAAAGGCCGAATTGGTGATGGATGAAAAAACTGAGTAGAGTTAGGAGGTGGAGGTGGAGGTGCCCGTATAAATCTTGGAACAACTCTTGGAGGCACATGGGTATCTCTACTGCCGAAGCTTCTGTTATTATTCCAGTCATCACGCCTGTTCCCATAGTTATGATGGTGAGAACCATCTCCGCGCTGGTGTGAACCACCATTGCGATTTCTAAACGAATTACGCTGCTGCGGATGATCATTAGACAAAAATCCACCTCTCTGTGTGTGGTCCTTTGGAGAGGAGTTACGGGACCCAGTTGCAGATACCGAAGCCGGGGGCACAGACTGTTGTGGCTGACCACCATTAGAAGATGCACTTAAACCTTGATTTCTTATTGATTTCGGCCGAGTGGACACCACACTGTTGCTAGTGTTGGTGTTTGTATTATCACTGACTTCCCTCTGTGGAGAGGAGGAAGAAGACGCACTTCCCAAAACCTGCAATCAGCACTTAAAACAATAGCAATATCCATGCACATATCCACAAACCATATATGCCAGCAAATTTCACAATCTATCCAATTGTTAATACATATAAGTTAATCCGGCATCGGTTTCCAAATACTTTATCAAGTATATACATGAATTTTCTAGATTGTTCCAGAAAGAAAAACTATAACAATGCTAGTCAGTGTGTTAATGTAATCAAGCCACTTAACACCAATCAGAAAACACGAAAAATCAAATCAACAACGCAACAAAGATAACTGGCTCCAACTGTTTGGAACACTAATATTTGCAGGAATCATTAATAACTACAATATTTTTTATAATAACCGAAACAATAGAGTAAATGGTGAAAGAACCAAACCTGCAATTGTGGCATAGAAGATCCATCCAACAAACCCTTCGCCGATTCCGATTTCATTGCAGCTCTTGTTGACACCGACAACGCCGGCCACGAAAGCGCGTCCATAACCGGCCGAGCCTCGGAAACCGCCGCTACATTAGGAGAAGGCTTGTTCCAAACAGGCCTCTTCGAAGCGCCGCCATTGTCGGAGCTCTCCGGGGCGGAGCTAAAACCGTCCGCCGTCGAGGCGGAGGAGGGGAAAGCCTCCGTTAACTGAGACGCCGCAGGAGATGACGGAGGCACCGCAACGGGCTCCGATTCGCCGCGGACAACTTGGTTCCACGGCGAAGAAGCAGCGAGGCGCGTGGCGCGACGCGATTGAAGGTTATCAGAGGAATGGCGAGGGGAATGGTTTCCGGTCATAGCCATAAAAAACGCTTAGGGTTAATGACTCAGTCGACGAGATGATCGACGTGACGAAGAGGATTCGATTCGCAGAGAGTGTTGGTTGCAATTTGGACGAAGGTCCAGAGCGAAATGTAGTAGATTAGGGTTCCAAAAATTGTGCGATCTGATCGCGAGGACGAAGAACCTTGGTTCGTTTGTGTGCGTGGGAGAAAAGAATGCGTTTCAGACGAAATATTATTGTGCAACGCTTCGGATGCCAGGTTTTCTTCTTCTACCACCCGCGATATTACGGAAATGCCCCCGCGTTATTTCCATTCTCTTTCCGTTACGACTTTCGCTGTTTTGCGTCGTAGCGCAGTTACTGTCACTGCCGTTAAATTTCCCATTGTCTGCGTGTGGTTTTTTTCTGCCCAAAAACCAATTAAAATTTTGAGTGTCAGGGACAACTTGTTTAATCAATTAATTAGCACATCTAATATCGTTACTTTTTTAAGTGTGGTTGGTTTTCGTTGAGCCAGAAAAAGGTGCTTGCATTTTCCACGTAGCTTTAGTCGGAAGAAAAAGTAAAACGAAATAATCAAATAAAATATTTATTTTTGGATTATTTTTTCATAGTCAATGCTAAGAACAAGAATGAGTTTTTTTCGGAGTTTATTGTAAATTCACACCATTTCAATAAGAATTTAGTGTTTTTTTTTTCTATCACTTTTTAAACATTTAATTATAGAATGTGGTCCCTGTGAAATAATAATCCAACAAAGAAATATGTTAACCTCGTAATGGATGGTGTGAACGATGGGCACACAAACCCAACCAAACCGCTTGCGAATGTGTCACTAAAATCTTCACGTGTCCATGGTTTTTAAGAAGTTGCTTCAAATGAATTACAACTCATCTGTTTAAATTCATAAGATCCACTTTTCATAGACCAGTCTCAAGGAAAATGTATAAAGTATGGTACAAAATTATTTAAATTTCGCATTATATTCTCAAAAATCCACGTGATTTAATTGTATTTTAATTAAAAAGACATGAAATTTAACTAATATATCCATATTTTATTTTACGATAAATAACTCATGTTTGTATTCCAGGATATTTGAAATTTTTAGTTTTCAAATTAGTCATTTGTACACATTTTTTTTTCTTATTTAGAGATTAATTTCTTCTAGATTTTTACTTATCATTTTCGATCCAAAATTTCTTTTCAATCATGTTACTTTTACACGCATGATTTAAATTTGAGACCTTAAAAATAATAATTTAATATCACTTGAATGAAGCACGTGTTGATGAGAATAGAGTTCAAATTTGTATAGTAGAAGAATTAGTATCTAAATTTTTACTCACACCTACTCTCGGGGGTCAGTTATTAAGATATTAAAATCACATTGGTCACTAAATAACATCAATTCAGAGTTTCATCTAGAATTGATTAAAAATATTTTTATATTATAATAATTTCAGTAATAATATTTTAAAATAATAATGATAAAAATATTAACATGTGAGTAGTAAATTTACAATAGTCACAAATAAATCTGAGAATAATAAAAAAATATAATATAATAAAATAATTATTATTATTTAAAATTAATATGTGAGATAAAAAATAAAAAATATTTTTTTAAAATATCTTTCAATTATTTTTACTAAATCAAATTGACACAAATATTTTCTTGATTTTCTATTAATTTTTTATATTCATTTAATTGAAATTCAATTGTTTTAAAATAATAGACTATTGAACCAATTGAATAAATGGGTCTGATCTTTAAAACACAAATTTTATCATTGGATATAAATTTAATTATTAAACAATAAAAGTTTGATAAATAAATAAATAAATACAATAAATAAAATGTAATAATATCTGTCAATATTGATTAATATTTTATATTTAATAATATTTTTTATGTAATATTTACTAAAAATATATTTATGCATTATCTCAAATCTATTATTATTTGGTGTTATATTATCATATTATTTTAACATTTTGAGTCCATAGAAGAAACTTAATAAAGGTTAAATTTCATCGAATACTTATTTAATAGTTTTATAATTTTATAGTCATGTTTTTATTATTGACTTGAGCATCAGGTGTGTTTTTTTTTTTTTCAAAACTTATTTAGTATTTTCATAACTTTTTTTATTATATTCTCAATGTTTACTTGAGGATTAGAGTATTTTTTTAGGTGAATCTCTGTTTGTTTTACAATTGAGAATATATCTCTATCCACAACTTAATCACCGATTTTCTACACTCCTTGTCAATCTCACTCAATTTGGTATGAGTATAATGAATTATTTAATCATTTGTCAGTAGAAAATAGTTTATTTACTTAACATGAATAAGAAATAATAAAAACAACAACGAATAAAATAAAAGATAAAAGGATAGTGATAATTGAAAATTAATTCAACCAACTAAAAGATGAAAAAAGAAAAGTGAAAATAAAACACTTATGGAGACAAATAAGTCAACACTTAAAGAATAAATCTTCAGACAAAAATTAATAACAATAAATTACCAATAAAAATATTTATCTTACAAACTCAATTTTTCATGTATAACATAAAGTGATTTGAAGTAAGAGAGGTGGTCATTATTTATTTATAACCATGACTCTAAATTTACAAATGAAATAAAATTTTAAATATAACATTGACTTTAAAAGATTTATGATAGTATGATTAAGTTGAATTGTCTTTTATACTTATTCATTAATTCTTTATTTGCCTTAACCACACTCTCGTTTTTGTTTCATATTCTTTTTGTTTATTCTTTCTTTACTTGATGGAAGGTTAACTTAAATTGGATTAGGAATGTGAATGTAATTAAAGTTCAAATATGCTTCTCAATAATTTATTCTAGTCGGAGATGTCTCTCTTAATAGATTTTGACCACTGCTTAAATATATCATAATCACACAATTAAACATAGATTATAATATGAAAAAATATATCTTAATTATCAAATAATACGAAATAAAAACATATTTATGAAAACAAAAATATTTTACCATATAATGTTTTTTGTCATTAAAATAATAATAATAATAATAATTATTATTATTATTATTATTATTGTATACTTTTTTTTATCTATGTATTTATCATAATTTTGTTATTTTTTTATTTATAAACTCATGATTAAAGTTTAATTTATTTTGATTACTTTTTTTTATACAATAATCAGTTCGAATTGATTAAGAATATGAATGATTGAAATATATTTTTCATTTTAATAAATTTTTTCTTAATAAAAAAAAAAAGAAAATTTTTCTTCTCTCGAGACTTATTTTTATAAGTTTTTTATGAAATAATTCACTAGTGGAAAAATAGCTTTCTATAACGGGTTTTTATCACGTGCCGTAATCCACCCGTCATAGTATGTGGCGCGGTGGCAATTTTGTAATAAAATCATAAATTTTCTATGTCGGGTAAGTTTTAACCGACATAGTAAGTGGAAAGGTCACTTTCTACGTCGGTTAAAATTTACCCGACATAGAAAGTTATGTCGGGTAACATTTACCCGACGTAGAAAATGAACTTTCTATGTCGGGTAAATTTTAACCGACGTAGAAAGTGTCTTTGATGATGGGTGTTAGGGCAACCGACATAGTATCTTCTGTTTTGCCCGCGCTCCATTTCATTTCATCACTTCCCCCCACTCCATTTCATTTCATCACTTCCCCCCCATAGCAGAGCTCCCCTGTACGTTTCTCCCTACGCTTCATTTCCTTTCATCAGTTCACCCATACCAGAGCTCCCCCGTTCGCTTGTATACGTTTCTCCGCACCCACATTTGCTCGTCACGCCACCTGCCAATGCTTCGTGCCGCCTGCTGCTACTGGTGCCCGTCGCCTTGGATACGTTTCTCCCCACCCAGCTCTGCACGTCACGCCACCTGCCACCTCTGTAGGTCTTCAAGAGGTAAGTTTTCGTGCTTGCTTTAGCCAATGTAGGTTTACAGTATTGAATCTAGTAAGTAATAATGCTGTCAAGAGAGGGAAACATCACGGGTGCCTTTAGCTACAGATGGAATGAATCCATATGGAAATTTAAGCAGTAAACATAGTTCATGGCCTGTGGTGTTAGTTATTTACAACTTACCTCCGTGGTTGTGTATGAAACGTAAGTACTTGATGCTATCTTTGATGATCTCGGGTCCCAGACAACCTGAAAATGACATTGATGTTTTTTAAGCCCATTGGTTGAAGAGTTGAAGATGTTGTGGGAGGAAGGTGTTGATGTGTTTGATGGGTACACAGGTGACTTATTCAAGTTGCGTGCAATGTTATTTTGTACAATTAATGACTTTCCAGCATATGGTAATTTGAGTGGCTACAGCACAAAGGGACATAAAGCTTGCCCGATATGTGAAGAAGACACATGTCACTATCAACTACAACATAAAAGGAAAACAGTGTACCTTGGACACCGAAGATTTCTTCCTTCAAACCATTCATATCGTAAATTAAAAAAATCATTTAACGGGTGTCAAGAAAATGATGCCACCCCAACACCTTTAAGTGGGGAAGAAGTATATCAACGAGTAAGTGCAATTTCGTGTGAGTTTGGAAAGACGCAAAAGAAAACCACAGGTATATGGAAGAAAATGTCAATCCTTTTTGTTCTTCCATATTGGAGGGTTCTTGATGTGAGGCATTGTATAGATGTCATGCATGTAGAGAAAAATGTGTGTGACAGTATCATCGGAACGCTCCTTAACATTCAAGGAAAAACAAAAGATGGTGTCAATGCTCGTTTGGACATGGTTGAAATGGGTATAAGAGAACAATTAGCTCCTCAACCTCATGGTAACCGAACATACTTGCCTCCAGCATGTCACACACTCGTCTAAAAAAGAGAAAAAAGTTTTTGTGAGTTTTTACGAGGTGTGAAGGTTCCATTTGGTTACTCTTCCAATGTGAAGAGACTTGTATCTATGAAAGATTTCAAATTGCTTGGGTTAAAATCTCATGATTGTCATGTATTGATGCAACAACTTCTACCTGTGGCTATTCAAGGTATCTTACCAGACAATGTTAGATATTCCTTAACTCGATTATGCTTTTTTTTAATGCCATATGTAGTAAAGTTATGGACCCGGATGTTTTGGATCAGTTAGAGAATGAGGCTGCAGTAATATTATGTCAATTTGAGATGTACTTTCCTCCATCATTTTTTGATATTATGGTTCACTTGATTGTTCATCTAGCCAGGGAAGTTAGAATCTGTGGTCCAGCTTTTCTTACGATGGATGTACCCTTTTGAGCGATACATGAAAATATTAAAAGGGTATGTGAAGAACCAATATCGTCCTGAAGCATCAATTGTTCAAAGATATATTGCAGAGGAAGCTATTGAGTTTTGCACAAACTACTTATCAGAAGTTGAAGCTATAGAGGGTTACCTAAGACTCGTTACCATGGAATAGGTCTTGGTAGAGGAACTCGAGGTGCAAAAGTTGTGACAATGTGTCGAGATGAAGTACTTCAAGCGCATTTGTACATATTGAATAACAGTGAAAAAGTCATCCCCTACTTAAGTGCTCATAAAGAGATTGTGAAGCGAAATAATCCACGTATGCCTAAAAAGTGGGTGATCACCGAACACAACAAGAGCTTTTTGAAGTGGTTTAAACAACAAGTCGAAGGTGACAATACAGACTTTCGATACACTAAAGTGGCTAGCATGTGAGCCAAACTTTGATGTGATATGTCGGGGTGGGTATGATATAAATAACTATTCATTTTATACAAAGGGAGAAGATGAAATAAGCACAATGCAAAATAGTGGAGTCATGGTGGTGGCTGAATCAATGCATTTCTCGAGTTCAAAGGATAAATATCCGATAAGGGCGTCAATGGGCTACTTTGGTGTAATTGAAGAGATTTGGGTAATAGATTACACGATATTCGGAGTACCTATTTTTAAATGCAAGTGGGTTGATTTTAATATCGGCATCTTCACCGATGATCTTGGATTTACCTTGGTTAACCTTGAAAATACTCGTTATACCGAAAAACCATTTATCATGGCATCTCGTGCAAAACAAGTGTTTTATGTCACCGATCCCGCTAACAAAGGATGGTCAGTGGTTCTACAAGGAAAACCCATGTATACTTCGATGAGAATGATGAATTAGTACTTGATATACCCGAGACACCATGTTTCTCTTCAAATATGCCAAACTTGAGTGTTAATGTAGAAATAGATGATGTGCATGCCATCCGTTATGACCATATGGAAGGATTTTGGGAGAATGCTCCAACTTGATAGGAAATTTAAGCATTCAATCTTCATAGGAAATTTAACTTGTAACAATTTAGATAGAATTGATTTAAGTTAGGAAATTTACATTCGTTTAAGTAAATGAACTGTCTGGAACTCGGATCTGTCTGTACATATATTCATTTCAATGTGTTTTATATGTACATATCCTGCCGCAAATCGAATCTGTCTGTACTTGGATATATATCTCGTAGCAAATTTATATATGAACTGTGCATATCTGTCCGTACTCGGATATGTGGTTATTTGTCCGGAACCGTGATGAATAAGCAATGTCTACTCGAAGAAAGGTAGCATCTCGTAAATAAAATGCGGGTATTTTAAAAAAAATAACACTTTCTACGTCGGCTATGTCATTACCCGACGTAGAAAGTACTTTCTATGTCGGTTATAATTTTAACCGACATAGAAAGTAAGACTTTCTATGTCGGTTATAAGTGTTAATCGACATAAAAAGTATATGACCGATCGTGAACCAATATGACCGATCGGAATAGCTCATACAAAATAAGACTTTCTACGTCGGTTCCTCGACTAACCGACGTAGAAAGTATTTATGTGACCGATCGTAACCAGCTTATGATCGATCAAGATAGCTCTATGACCGATCATAACCAGCTTTGACCGATCATAATTGCTCAAAGAAAGTAAGGCTTTCTACGTCGGTTCTTATTAACCGACGTAGAAAGTCTTACTTTCTACGTCTGCTATTAGGAACCGACGTAGAAAGCCTTACTTTCTATGACCCCGTATCTATGTCGCCGCTTTAACCGACGTCGAAAGCCCATTTTAACCGATGTAAAAAGTCTTTTCTCGAGTAGTGATTATAAAAAAAATAAAATATTTTTCATTTATTATCATACATAAGATTCTTAAAATAAAAAGTTATTTTACACAACTAATATTTTATTTAACTTCTGAATAAACAAATTTTATTAAAAATACTCTAAAGTTTTTTATATTGAATTTTAATAAATATCCAAAAATATTTTGAAAAATAAAAAATAAAAAATAATAATATTTTATCTTATCATACTATTATATATATATATATATATATATATATATTAATTCCTGTATATTTTTAAATATTGATTACATTCATTTTATTTTATTTCTTATTCATAAACTTATCATCCATTTTACTATTTAAAAGTAATATTTATAACATTTATTTTATTTTATTTCCTATTCATAAACTCATCATTTATTTTATTATTTAAAAGTGATAGTATTTGTATTTTTTTCTTATTCATCAATCCATCGTCTACTTTATTATTTAAAAGTGGTAGTATTCGTACAAGAGAAAAATAATTTTAAATTAAATAGTTTTATTTTCCATGATAAAAAAATTTGACCCTATTTAATATTAAAATCCACTTATAAACAATGTCATCAATCATTGATAAGAATAAAGAATATAGGGTAATGATTTTTTTTCCTAAATAACCTTGCTACTGATGCTTTTATTAATTGATATTCATGGCTTTTATTGTAATCAATAAATAACTTGACTTATTTTTACATTATAATTTCGAATTACTTTAAACGTAACAAAATATATATACTGTTATTTCCTTCAGGAAAAAAAAAACATACATACTTTTGCCTTTATAATATATGATATTATCATTATTTAAAATTGTTTTTCTTTTTAGAGGTTAGAAAATTATAATTGCTTTTAAGTATTTGTCCACTACATGGAATTGGAACTATACATTTCGTTTTGAAATATGTGGCACACACACACACACACACACATATATATATATATATATATATATATATATATATATATATATATATATATATATATATATTATCTATTACCTTTTTATTCAAAAATCGGTATTTTGAAATATCAAAATTATATTAAAAATACTCTAATGAAAGATGAACCATATTTTATAGAAAAACAGTTAACTCATGAGAGTGGATTGGCACGTGGTCTCCATTTTTTTCAAAAGCTATTTTTATCTAATGGATCACAATCGAATATTATTTATTTATTGTATTTTATTTTATACTATCAATTTTTGTTTGATTTATTTTTATTTTCATAAAAATAATTTTAAATAATATTAAAAAAATAATATAAAATATCTTTAATGAAAAACAATAACATAAATTAAATAAATCTTGATAAAAAGTTGGAATATAATTTAATAATTTTGTGATGATAAAAATGAGTAAATTAATATAATTATTAATAAACACGTAGATTTTATTAATGAAAATAAAAATGAATAGATGATTTTTTTAGTTAAAAAAATATAAATATCTTATTTAAGTTTTAAAAATTTTAAAATTTATTTTGAAACATTAAATAAATAAGTCCAATAAAAAAATATCCTTAAATTTTAAAATTAATTAAATTTTGTATTTTTTGTCTAAACTGACTATTGCGATGAACTCATTTATAAGGATTTTGAGTATGACTTGTTTTTCTGTCTCCAAGTCTTTTAACTTAGTTCTTACAAACAAATTTTTTTTTTTAACTTAGTACTTTAATGAAAGATTGGTAACATTTCTAATACCATTGCATTATTTTGCTTTTAAATGTGACATGTTTGAAAATGATTTAGGCATCTAATTGATTATGATTTTTTTATTAGAATTCTTCTATTTTCTTATGGTTTTGTTTTTGGGCGTGCTTCTAAAATTCTGTAGTTATGTTCATGATTTATAATGTTCAATTTTTGTTTTAAGTAAAGAGTAAATGTTATTTAAAAAAGTACTTAACCACTTTTTTATTTTGCATTTATTTCAATTAAATCTTATTAAATTCATCTCTTACCAACTACAATTTTTTTAGGTAAAGCCATATCCAGTGGATGTAAGTGATGAATGTCTAATAATCACAATTAATCATTTATGTAATGGTGATGCCTCAATTACTACTATTTTTGTTTTTCAACAGTTAGAATAAGCTCAAATTAGGTTTGTTTTATTTAAATTTTTCTGGACCTTTTTAATAAAATAATTACTTTTTATAATTTTAACATGTATAAGTAAATTTATTTAAAATGAAAGGAAAAATTATATTTGTTTAGAAATAGTTTGGAATTGACCCTCTTAAAAAGCAGGTGAAACAGAACGAATTACAAAAATTACAAAAAATCATGAAATAATTTCTTACAAATATTTTTTAAGCACAAATAAACATATCTATAGTTTTGTCTCTGCAGTCAATTATAATTCTTTTAATACCAAGTTATATTTTAATTAATTTCTTGCAACTATTAATTAATAACATTGCTATTTTATCAGCTTATGTTTTTATTTATTTTTAAATACAATAGACTCAGCACGCACTACTAATTTCAGTTTTTTTTTCAAATTTAATACGTAATTTGAAGGTTAACTCCACTTTGACTTCCAATTTGATCAAATGTGACCTATTTGAATAGAATTAGGTTCAAGAATATATATATATATATTATCTTTAACAAAGATGAAATTTTAATGCTTATAAAATAATTTCGTCTATAATTTATGCTTTCAATTTTGTGTATGTTTCACTTGTTTGAACATTATCTGTCTAATTCTATCGCAATATTTTTTTTTCCTACAAATATCTTTAATATATTAATTGCTGTAAAATTAATCTTACAAAAACATTTTTTACATTATAAAGAAAGTAAAAGGTTTTGAAGCCCCAATTGAGCCTGAAATTTGTAGAGTTGAGTTAACTCCTTCCAGGGGGAGCCATGGAAGAGAAAAATGGGGATGACGAAGATTGTGATGACACTCCCTCCATGACCACCGTTTCTCGGCACTGTTTCGGCGATGATTCTGAAACTCCATCCTTCTGCATCTCCATCATCGAGGTTCTTCACTTCCCAACACCTCTATACAGACCCTGAATTTCCCAGTGAATTAACAATTACTCTTCTTCTTTTATTTCCGTGGCTTCACCGCAGAACATGAAGGAAGACTATGGCCTATTCGTCTGGCCCTGCAGCGTAGTTCTCGCCGAGTACGTGTGGCAGCAGAAGCATCGGTTTTCAGGAGCCACTGTTGTTGAGGTACGTCTTTCAAATTCGTGTTTTATGTATATCCTTTATTCTCCATTTTTTCATATTATATGCATGCAGCTTGGTGCTGGAACTTCCTTGCCTGGCTTGGTTGCTGCAAAACTTGGTGCTCGTGTCACTCTTACGGATAACTCCACCAGATTAGAGGTGTTACATTATCTCCGCCCAGTTATTGTCCTTTTATGGTTATTATAAGCTTATGCTTAAAATTAATGTTCGGATCCTGAAAATTAATACATATATTATCAGTTGACTACATCTTGTTTGGGACTTTCAGGTGCTTGACAACATGAGAAGAGTTTGTGACTTGAACAAACTTGAGTGCAATGTAAGCTATCATGATTGTTTCAACTTATTTCAGATAAAGAAGCCTGTGTGACATGTTTGAGTGTGTTAATGTTTCAGTAGAGTACTATGGCAGTTTTTGTGTGGCATGGATTTTCTAGAAGGTGGTGAACGAGTGGAAGCTTAATGCTTGTTTGTGTGTTCGTGATGTTGAAATTTATGATATTGTTAATTGTTTCTGTTTTCTGATTGTTTTGCTTCTATATGTAGGTGTTGGGATTGACATGGGGTGTTTGGGATTTACCCATATTCAGTTTACAGCCGACAATTATTCTAGGGGCCGATGTGTTGTATGATTCAAATGGTGAGAAAAAATGGGCTGCATTACTTATGGCCTTATGGGTTGCCCTCTGTGAATTGGACTAAAGTTTTTTTATTTATATATATATATATATATATATATATATATATATATATATATATATATATATATATATATTATTTAGCCTTTGATGATCTCTTTGCGACTGTGGCATTCCTGCTTCAAAATTCTCCCGGGTCAATTTTTGTAACGTCATACCATAATCGAAGGTACATTTCATTCAATACCATCCTCTGAACTTGTGATGAAATTTCATCCTAGCTCTGCAACCAGCATCTTTCCCCCCTATTTTTTAATTTAGCTATCTAATTGTTTGCAGTGGGCATCACCTTATTGAGTTTTTGATGGGAAAATGGGGCTTAAAGTGTCTGAAGCTTCTTGACGGGTTTTCCTTCCTTCCATCTGACAAAGCATCAGTATTAAGTGGTAACATTCAATTGGCAGAGATAACTCTGATCTCAAGATAATGCTTGAGGTAGCTCAAAAACTGTGAATAAATTTAGCAGTTGTTTTTGGTCAGGCAGCAGTTATACAAATTCTTGTTGCTTTCAGACAATTCCATGTCATACCTAGATGATCAAGAAATTGTTTAGGACATCATCGCTCTACAGAAATGCCTTCTAAAAGGGATTCCACACTTCTGTGCTCTATATTAGATGAAGAAAAAAAATATATTTCCTTTTACTTTGCCGTTGCTGAATCTTGGGACAGTGTATAAGGCAACAATCTCTGTGGACGGGGAACTGAGATGTCAATTGTTGACGAATTTTCTAGTGTTATTTATTTCAATAGGTTGTTGAGATATATTTGGGCTAGGTTTAATTTACTCTAAGATCACTAGGAGTGTTGCTATACATTTGTAAAATGATGCTGATATTTGCAGTGCTGTCAAGTGGTTAGAGCCTGCAAGCCATATATAATAATTTTGAGTTGATAATTTAAGAAAAAAATATTTTGTAATGAAAGCAATTGCATTCTTCGGAACATTTCATCCTATATCTCAGAAACTTCACTTAGCAGCCAACAATAGTTTTTGGATGAAATGGGAAAGTGAAGGCTCAAACATGAATCATGCCTAAAAGTACGGTGTGCACCAATAATGTTCTTTGAAGCTACATTGGATATGTTCACGAAAAAATTTAGTACCATTACTATGGAAGAAAATCATGACAGATATATGGTTTTCTTATCTGCTATTAAGTTAGGTTTGTTTGGCTGTTTCTCACAAAATTGAGCTCTTACTTTTTACCATGATTCTCTTCCTTGTTTGAGCAGTAAAATGTTTGTAACTACCAAAGTGATATATTTATAATTATTAAATAATTTCCCAAGAATATGCTTGGGATTTTACTAACTTGAGATGGATATACATATTTTTTTGATAGAGGAAAAAGACGCAATATTCTTGCCATCAGGGAAGTTTGTTCCACCAATTTCATACTGAATAACTTGTTTGGTACATCAACTTTAACTTGAATTGGTTTAGCTTTTTAATTGACCACTCTGCAGTCCTTCCTAACCTCCTGTCCACCATTGATGCCACCCATTTTGATCATGGAATTTGCAAAAGCCTGATAAAAGGCCTTTTTGGAGGTGGCAAACTTCGTAACCAGATTCTTGGTGTCAGGATTATCGAGCAAAGCTTGATCAGAGGAAAACAATCCTTGATGTTGGAGGATCAACCTGTAATATGTATTATCAAAAGTTGCTGAAGAAGGGTCCATAGTGGCGCCTGCATTTTTTGCCTGATTTTTTAGTGGACAAATTGATTTCAGTTTTGCTGCAAACGATGGATTTAATGAAGGGTCAATATCATGCGTAGCATTGAAGTTGTGGAGTCTGCTCTGGAAAGATGAGCAGTGAGAGAAACCCAAAGTGTGCCCCCCTGCATTAGTCAAAAGATATTTTACTCTCAACTCTATTCAGATATAAATTGGAATATATTGAAAATGTTTAAGTTTTGGCAATTTTGACTTTAGGATAACTTACCTGACAGAGCTACCAGGTCTGCCCCAGATAGTCCTCTTTGAGAGAAGCTCTGTCGCAGTTGTGATAAGTTGAAAGTCGGAGCAGGTAGTTGCCTGGTTTCACTGGCCTTAGATGTTCTACCATCCTTTCTTCCTTTAGGAACATCCCATGTAGGTCCTCCAGACTGTAGAAAATATTTATACCATTAGTCAAGGCTTGCAAATACAAGTTACCTTAGCTGCATTTATCAACTCTCAATTGTTTAGGATCTGAATGATATAAAATTTGGTACTTTAAATAGTTTACTTACCAGAAAAACTGCATCCCTTGCTGCTAGAGCAAGGATATCAGCACAAGAGACCACACCAGGGCATGCAGCTTCTAATGCTTTCTTTGCTGCATCAATGACATAGAATGCATGCAAAGAAACATTTGGTGGCCCGTCTTTTTCTGCTTTGCTGTTTCCTTTTGAGTTTAGCAGCACGGAGGCATCACACCCCTTCAAGAATATAGGACAAAATAAAACATGATTTAATTAATGACACATCAAATGAAGGAGAAACAGTCAAGAAGAGGAAAGGAGGAGTTAAAATTCTGTTACCCGAACGAAACAATCATGGAAGTGCATTCGCAGAAGTGCTGCCGGAACAGTTTTGTCCTTAGCCATGGCATCCTTCACTGCCTTGGCAACAATGCACTCTACTTTAGGGCATGTTTTTTCATAGTAGTTTAAGCTCAGTGACTTTCCACTAGTGACTACTGAAAGCATGATGACCAAGTTCAAGAATGCAACCATGGCAGCCATGCCAATTTGAGTACTTTGATGATTTTTAGCTTTTAGCGGTGGAAATTAAGAATGGGGGAAATGGTTTTTTATAGACATAAAAGAGACTAATCATTGTGTAAGAAATAATGTGGCCCAAGAAATCAATTCGTTAAGAAGTACTGTCAATGAAGAGTTGTAATGTTGAAGCATTCTCATTACATAAAGACAATCCACCTTATGCTCCGTGGACTAAATGAAGGTTAAACTTTTCCGGTAGCTTTCTGTGGCTTATGATATGTGATGTTCCTCATTAATCACCTTTATCACGTTACTCTCAATCAGAATAATGTAATTACACATATTCATGCTAAATCCAGTCTTAAGCTATATTTTCATGTCCCCTCTTCAAGAGTTACGATTGGTAAGTTCACAATTTCATCCCCACCCCCATGATGCACCATTATGATTCATTGATTATGACAATACCCTTGGTCTTCTCCCATTGTCCTAATGTCAAAGGTGTAATAATTTATATTACCCCCAGCATTTTTTCTGTGATAGAACACTTGAGATATCAAGTTTCGGCTTTTTGACGGAAATTAAGGACAACAGCTTCGTGGCCAATGGTCCATGTAGCGGACACATCTTAACCAATAATCTTACCCTCCAATAAGGTCTGCCACTGGTCCATGCTCTGTTCTATTTCAATGTTATGTTTTGTATCTTTTTTCTTGGGTAAAACACATTTATGATTTTTTTCCAGACTATTACTCTAAATTTTCGAGAAAAGTACTCATTGTGTCTTTCTTCTGAGCTTTAACTTTTTTTTTTAGTGCTTATCTCAAATTTTATAGACATTAATTGAAAGTAATCTATGTGTTCTGAAAATGGCAGAACAAAAAGGAGTCACTCGTGGTTTTCACTAGCAAAGGAAACTGCGCCTCAGTTATAGGAATGTATGCGGTGGTTAAGGTTGAGCCATCGTAAGTTTTGTTTTTTTGGTGCCAAAGCTTGCATTGCAAGTCTTCGTTGGTTATAATGGTAGTCAGGTCTTATCAAAACTACAATTATTGTTGTAGGAACTTTCCTGTTGATGTGGATTATAGTTCAGAGAATCTAATTATTAACGATACTAATTTGTGTCCAGGCATTCCGGTGCATTTGTAAAAAGCAGATAATATAATGCGATTTTTCAATGTTTAAGATGAAAAAAAAAGTAGCTTATTCAATCAGCGGGGCTGTATTTACATAATAATGAGGTTTGTGGTGCACTTTTGGGCTCAAAATGTAAGGAAATTAGCTGATTGTTTGTCAAAAGATGAGTAGTTATGCATTCAAAGTTGCTGTGGTGTCGCTGGTACTGCATGTTTGTGTGCAGTTCCTATGTCTACTGAAAGTGTGTATAAATATACAAATTTGTATTCTTAATAGTTTACTAGGAGGCCATTATACTCAAATCAGGATAACATAAAGTATGAATAATTATTTGAATGAAAAGTTAACCCATATTTTACTATTTTGTAAAGACTAATTCTTTTCATTAGATTAAATTCATAGAGAAGATGAATGCCAATAATTTGTTAACCTGTGGTTTCTTTTCAAATTATATTGGCGTTTGTTGTACAATAACAATGATTACATAAGAATAGTTAATATTGTATTACCACTTTATTTGAGTTATTTATGAGAAAAAGATGACCATTCATAAGGCAAGGAAAGTAGGAAGACTTGTTTTTGTTAAAGAACAGCTAAAACAAACACAGGTATAGATGTCCCTCCTATTCGTATTTTTATTTTTATTTATTAAAATTTCTCTCTCTATATATTAATTTTAAAATGTAAATATTTATTTTTAAAATTATGAATTATTACAAATAAATAAATTTAAAACAAATAAAAATTGAGGAAAACTTAGAAAATATACTAAAAAAACTTCAGAAAATATGTAAGTAAAGGAGTAAGAAAAAATATGATATTTTTTATTAATTTTATTTATTATTTTATTATGGAAAAAAAACTCAGATCTATGAAATCATTTTACCACGTAGTGCTATTCTCAAAGGAAATATGAACTTGAGTGGACTTTTAGCCAAGGATGATGTCGTTATGTCCGAGAATGTTCATATCGTCTGGATAAGAAGAGATTTCTGTCTAAAATGGTATGAAAATTTAACCATTTTTTTATGGGATGAGCTGACAATGTTGGAGTCCACTGACTTATGCTGGTAATGATGCGCAAATTGTGCACGATAACGGTTGTAAAGTGGATAAGTTTTAAAGCTGACTTAAAGATAATGTTTTGTGTTACTTTTCGTCCGATCATGTTTTGTGTTGGTCTAGGGTTCCTGCTTGATTTAAACCAGTCTCAGGGTGAGAATGTTATTGTGGTATCGGCTGATTTGAATACTACTACTTTGGAGTCGCTCAGAATATCTATTTTTATATTTTTGTTTTACTGATTCAAATAAATTATTTTTTTACTCAATTTTTTATCTATTTAAATAACAAGTTTTATACTTTATCTCTTTTTTTTTTCTTTTTGATTTCATTTTTTCCAATCAAAGAAAAGTAAGTGAGAAGTAACCAATAATTAAGACCAAACAAAATTCTTATTCATTTTAGAATGACTAAAAACATGTAGCTAGTCAACACGTCTAAACCCAGCCAAATTAGTTAGAATGAAGAGTAATCTTGAAGGAAAACTAGACTAGTAGAGTAGTTGAATAAAGGTTCTTTCACATTTTGGTTTAGGCATTCAACTAATACACAATTTTGATTTTTTTATTTTCATTTTCAATCATTATTTCTCTTATTATATATTATTATTATAATAATATTGTTTAACAATTATTTACTTTTAAAGAATTGTCTATCAATCATTTATTGCTTTTAGTACATGGTCTGCAATCAAATGATTTTCTTATTCTGAATAAAATGCACTACTTTTCGCTCTTCTATTAAACATCTTCAATGATAAGTAAATATCATCTCTAATCAATTTATTTTATAAGTTGGATTATATATTATTTTTTAATATAATATCAAAAAAATTTATAATAAAATTAATGACTTATTAATCCATCACTCAAATCATTATTAAAAAATATAAAAGATTAAAAAAAATTGTTTACATTTTTTATTTAATATATTTATAAAAAATTAAATAAATTTTAAATTATATATATATATATATATAATATTTTTAAAATTAATATAAATTTAATAGATCACTAAATTTAAATATAAAAAATATTTTAAAAGATTAAAATTATAAATATACATCTTAAAATTTTAAGCATCATGTCCTCATTCAATACTTAAATCTGTCTGAGGAAAGAATATAATAAAAGTTTAATTTTAATTCATTTATAATATATAATTAAAATATAAATTTTATTTTTTATATCAATTTTATAAAATTAAATTATTCAAAAAATATTTTAATACAAAATATAATAATATTATAATATATAAATAACGATGATGTTTATTAAATTTTATAACATTAAATTTGGTATTTTGTTTTTTAGATAAATTAGTAATATAAGTAATTCTAATAAAAATAAATTTTAATTAGACAACAACAAAGTTTAATGCTTTTTTTCCTAGCATAGAAATGTGCAGATAATTATTTATTTCTTTCACTATCATAAATCAGACAGTATGGATTTGTTACGTGTCTCCTATTACATATTATTTTTCATAATTGACGAAGCGCATTTATAATTTTGTATGAATATTTATCATTTTCTATGTACAAATACTATGTGTTCACCAGATAAGGATAAAAAAATATGACAGATAAGGATAAGAAATTAGACCGTCATTAAGATGCAACAGAAGAAGCAAACTCAAAAGCAAAGTAACAAATAACATAACCAACTTACAGATGGAAACATTAGTTCTTAAATAATATGTATAATTTATTCACAAAAGTTGATTAATTTCAATTAAAATATTGAATTTATTTGTAATTATAGTGTTTTTAAAATTTATTCTTAACTAAAGAGACTTTTAATTTTCAAAAATAATTTATTCAATCTTCCTATAGAAAAGAAATAATTTATAATATTTAGACTTGGATATGTTTTTATTTAATGCAAGTTAACAGTTTAGATTTAGTCTAACCAAAATATTTGTTAGTTTTAAATCTCTCATATTTTTTAATCCTTTTTTAGTCTTTAATTAGTTTAATGTTAAAAATGAAAAATATTAATATATTTAGAGTAAAAAAATTAAGATTATCACATTTTTAAGGTATGTAATTTAATTAGGTAATATATTTATTTAATATAAATATGATAACTATGCATGTTACTATTATTTTTTAACCAATAATTTACTTTTAATATTTTATTTTTATTAAAGATAATTACAATTTAATTAGACGCTTATAACTTATTTCCAACATATTAATTTTGATATATGAAGGTATTAAAATATATAACTAAAATGTATAATTACCTTAATTCAAAATATTTTTGTTTATCATAATTATATTAATTAATATTATTCATTTTTAAATTTAAAATAATTGTAGTTATTATAAGGACTAAAAAATGAAACTTAGAAAATATTAAAAATTTAAAGCTAAAAAATAATTTTACATGAACTAAAATAATTAAGATATTTTGATAAGAATATTATTAAAAAAGTAAAAGAAAAAAATTAATTAAATTTTGGAGATGGGAGGAGAATGATCTAGAATTGGGATATGCATCATCTAAAATTTCAAGAGGCATTGGCAAAAGGGTGAGAGAAAAAATATTCAAATTAGAGTTGCTAGTGGTCACCATTTGACATCTTTTAACCTCTGTAATTGATCCTACCAACTAACAATCATAACACTTCTTTTTCTTACAAACATTGATTGTAAATGAAAAAGAGGAGTGTTAAAGGCCAAGTTTTCATTTGTGACTACTTCAACAAGCTTATAAATAGCATCCAATATTTATGTCAGTTGTTGAAAGAAAAGCTAATTTTATTTTCAACTTTTGAAGCTAAAGGTGGCTGGTAAGAATTCATGGTCGACCTGGTTCACAGTCAGCTTGCATGACCTTTTCCTAGAATTTGCAAGATTGAATGGCTTGCATTCCATATTGATCTTTTAGGTGATTCATATATGTTGTCATTTATTTATGCTCTTGGGAATGCAGAGGGTGAATATTACAGTGATTATCTAATATTAAACTTGTAAGAGGGTATCCCTTTGTGAAAAGGTTATCAAGAATGATGATTTTACATTCCAAATAAATTTTCCAGAAACAAGAGTGTAGATTCCTAACTACTGTTAAAAGCTAAATGCAGAGTCCATTTACAACTATATATGAGGATTTGTAACTGATCTCATGAGACATTTAGTGAGTTTTTCTAGCACAGCCTACACACTTTGATTGGATCTTGTCCAAGTCATGAGTCAAAAGTTGTGGATTTGTAATTAGCCTCTGAGGATATGCACTGAATGTCTGAATAAAAGTGAAGTCAGACAACAACCGTACAAGTTTAGTGTAAGAATGGAAATATATATTTTCACAACTATACCGGCATGTTTTTACATTATTTACAAAACTCATTATCAAATTAATGCTACTAAGAATCCAAAAAATGCGTAGAAATAATGTTTATCTAGTGTGTGCTAAAAAAAAAATACTAATATAACACTGAATAGCCTAAGGTATGCTCAAAGTATGGCCAAAAACAAAAAAAGGACCATCACAAAAGCAGAAGTAGGTTTTATCTTGAATGAGAGATTAGGTGACAGCTCATTAGGCTGGTTTGATGTTGCTTCAGGATTCACGGCTATGGCAGGAGGAATAGCAGAGGAGCGTGATCGGTTAGCAGGTAAAGTAGAGAGTTCATCATCATAACCTGGGAGTAACATGTCTCATTAACAATACTAATGGAGAAAGGATGCAGTGAACTGAAGCAGTAGAATGAACTGTACTTACAATTAGATTTTTTCCAACCCAGAATCATGTTGTCACGGTCAAACACTATACGGTAACCAGTCATGAAGTTCTCTGCATCAAGATAAATATTATGAATATTCTAGGTATGTATCAATACATCAGCATTAAGAGTGGAAGAAGTTATAGATGTCTTTGTCATAGTATTGATGTATGATCTGTCAAACTTAAAAACAGACAAAAAAGACAGGCATCGGTGAATGCTACACAATTCCAGAAGAAACACATGATAATCCGGTAAGAATGTAGCAGTTGTGGCTGCTATATTCATAAGAAGCGACCAAAATAATTGAAAGCTTTAGGAACATATAATCATATATATTTTAGTCTCTTCAATTAAAATACTCACGTCCAATGATATTCACGTTGTTGCTTTTCAGGACACCCAAACAAAGTAAGCTAGCACCCTGGATCATCACAAGAAGCATTTATGATGTTACAGGCTAAAAATCATTAGATATTAATGTGAATGAAACAAAAACTTTGATTTCATGTTCTCACCTCCCCGGTGACTGTTACTATAGGGTCTGTGACAGTAAAAGTATCTCCACCTTTCATGGTCAGATTGATGAGAACTTCAACATCCTGGTTTGAACTGCAGGTAAAGTCAAAATCAGTGCCAGATGATTTTAAAATGGAAGAGGAGTAGAGACTTCTGTTAAGCTATAAATCACCTTAAGTCATAACAGTACTCAAAGGGGAGCTCATCAGAACTACTAGAAGATGAGTGCCGTTGTAGTTTAATTACTGAATCAAACTGCAAAAATAGTGAGGAAAAAAAAATTAAAAACTCATGTCACATGAAGGTCTAGTTACCTTCTTAATCAACTATACTCAACATTACTTACACTGTTAGTAATCTGCGTATACGCTGGGTCATTTAGGTATGTAAACGAGGTACCAGAGTCAAATATTGCATGAAACTCAAGATCCGCAACATCTCCTCCCAAACTAATCTGGGATACGGTAATGTTGTAAGTAGGACTGTAAAGAAGAACGTATGTTAAAATAAGCACTATTTAAGTTAGGCTCAAATACTCTATTTTTCTTCAATAGTTTCTGTTGTATGTTTCTTTTTCTTTTACCAAAGAAGTTCAATATAATGGAGGGTGGTCCATTTCAGGTCAAGGCATGTCATGAGGCCTCAACCAGAATTAAACCAAATACTATCTCCGCCAACAACAGTTCTTTTTATGCTTCTGTATGCATTCAAGTGAAAGTGATAACTTCTTGTTAGACTAAAGGGAAAGAAGAAAAAGGATAATAACTACTTACTGCGATGCCCTTAAGTTGAATAGTGTTTTTCCTTGAACCAAGCTACTATTATCCCCAAATGTGATTCTTCCAAGACCATCAGGTCCAAAACACATTGAAAAAGAATTTAAAGTGAGACCTTCGTTGGCTAAGATACTTGGGACAGATACATCTCCCATTCCTAGTCCAAGCAGACCATTTGGGGCTGCCCCATCTAAAAAAGCACCAGTCTGAACTTGGCCACAACTGCAACATATTGAATGACAAATACCAATGAGCAGGTTGTTAAAAACAAGGCCAAAAGAAGTTGATTGTAACTAAGAGCAGTAATGTACTCAAATAGTTTAATTTCAAGGATTAGCTTGGAAACTTAATCTACTTTACTACTCACAAAAGGATATGGGTTTATTGGATGTGATTATTATTGTGCCTATTCTCATCAACCTACCTAGAAGTGAACCTTTTGTCACTTCAACCACTCCATACAACGCTATAGTCCAACTTCCTAAAGCAGTGTAATGCAGTATGATCAAGAATACACTCTAATGTTTCATATGTACATGTATTCCCCATAAAATCTCACAGAACGACGTTAAGAATTTTACCCAAAAGTAATTCGTGTATCAACATCTTTTGTTTGATCGTCGTCTGTAATTAAGTGTAACACATCCTCCACCAGGAACCCAGAAGTTGAAGTACCGTTCGATAGATAGTTTACTTCATAAGGACAAATGGTACCAGATGAAGAGCACTGTTTCTGTAGCTCACATAAGCTGCTATTGCACAGAACCTTTTGACTTGTGGATGATCCTTTAAGATCATAGATATTAAAATCAATTATCTGGCAAATACAAGTATTAAGAAAGTGTCGTTAATTCAAACATCTACATCAGTTTTGTACTTTTGTTCACAAATGATCAAGAACCCACAAAAAAAGACAAGAAAAGAAAAGAAAAACACGCACATAACGGCAATACGGTTTCATTAACCTAGACTAACTATCAAGAAATCCTTTAGCAACTAATAATGATGCAAATGAAGTTTCACACCAGCGCTCAAAAATTGCAAGCATTCTGATAACATATAAATTAAGAGAAAAAACAGTTAAAACAATAATGAGATGGCATACCTGGTTTGATATTCGTATAGCACGCACACATTTGGTACAGTTACAAGGTAACCAGAACAAGTCACTACCAGTATCCAATGCCACCAGAAACGATAAGGGTGGAGTCCCAACGGAAACATTGGCAAAATGCAAGCTGAAATTCAAATAAGGAAGAGAGATTACTAAATTACTATACTACTACACCCGCAGCACCACAGAGAATTTCTAACAAATTTTTCCTTTTTTTAAAAAGAAAAAAGAAAAAGAAAGGCAAAACCTGCAAATAAAAGATTTTCACACATCCCAAAAATATGAATAAGGCATCTTTTGCAAACTTCAGAATATGGCCTCCAGAAAAGAAAGAAGGAAGCATATCCCTTTAGATTCTCTTTGTGCATCTTTTAAAGCATCTAAAACATAATCCATATTCTATCCCTTATTATTCTTCGCACAGATCTATTATATTCACAAATTTCTAGTAAAGTGGTTGAAGAAGTCGTACAATCCAAAGGTTTCAATCTGATAAGTCTCGTTGCTGGGGAAAAAGGTGAGAGGAGTATGGGGACCGGCGGCGAGACGCCGGCCTCGAAATATTCGGTCTCTGTGGGCCATGACAACATAGTACTCGCGAGTTCCCTTGTCGGGTAAGTCACCAACGCCGAGAACCTCCTTCACCGGATCGGAGAGCCGGTGGTGTATGTCGAACCCGAACGAATGAAGTGCGTAGCAACTCTGCGAAGCGAAACTCGTCAACGCCACCAACACCAGTGACACAGAAAAAAACCCGTGTCCACGGTCATATTTGGAACAGAAAGAAGGAGCCATGAGAGTTGTTGAAGATGATATGTGAAAGAATGTGAAATGAGAGGTTTTGTTTGGTTGAGACACGGAACAGAAACAAATAACAAGGTTCGGCGTTTTTGGTCGTAGATTATGGTCGTAGACACGAAATAGATAGAATTAAAATAAAGAAAATAAAGAAAAGAGAGAGGGAAGAGGAAGAAGGAAGGTACGTCAAAAGTCGGTTGAGTTTGGTTAAGCATCCTAGTTGCAGGGAAAAGTCCAACTCCTCTTTCTCCCTTCCACAAGGGGGATTCACATTGCTACTCTGTGGGTCCCAACTTCATCTGATTCTTTTCATTTTCTCAATCTATATTTCTTTTTCTTCTTTTTCAAAACCCTCTATTCTGAATACCCCTCATCTCAATCTTCATCACACCTTCTCAGAAATTAACATCTGATAAGTGTAAGATTTGAATTTGAATATACTAGGAGTGACACAATTCAAAAGTAGATTTGAATTAGTTTAACTTAATAAATCTAATTAAATCCTACTTAAGTGTAAATTATAGATCTTATCTTATCATGGACCTTGTTTGAAACCAAAATAAAAAATAAATCTTTTGAAGCTGATTTTGCTAGCGAAAACCAGTAGGGGAAGCCAACTGCACCTGTTGAAGCTTTCTCAAATGTTTATCATATCTGTCACGACCATTGGTTTTCATGAAACAAAAGGAATGTTATTATATAGTTAATGTAATGTTATTTCAGTGTTGATGGCCATTTTTATATTTAAAGACTCTTTGAGGTGGACAAATGAGACTTGGTTTACCCTTTGGGACAGCAACTCTCACAGTAGCTGAACATGGTAGAATATAATAGAAGAAATGGTGACATCTGCAAGTAAAAGTTTGAAAAGGAAAACAAGTATATAAAAAATGAATGCTTCCATTTGAGGGAAGTTGAGGTTTTTGTAAGTGAATGTGATTTAGCATGTAAGAATTCAGGTGAGTTGGTGGTTTTCAATGGCCACATTTGATAGAAAATACAGGTAGTTATAGGATGCTTGGTTTTGCATCTTTGGATCTAATTATGGTTCATTTTACAAAAAAACAAAAAAAGTCAATGTAGCAAGACATAATATAGTGTGACGGATGAAATTTCGTAACTAAGTTTTGAAAAGATATCACTATTTTTTTTTCTTAAATTTAAGTGAAAATAGTATTAAATAAAATATAAATAATCAAAACTTGTTTATATTTTTAAAAAAGTGTTATTTTTTTCCTATATAAATGAAAAATAGATAGTATATTTATGTGAGAGTTTGAATCAAATTTTAATTGTTAAATGTTCAGATAACACAAACCGATTTTAATGATTTTGATGACCTAAAATTTATATGCTGAAATGACATATGTTGGTCATGTGAGTGTAATGTCTTATCATTTATTTAATGATCTCAGGAATATGTTTATATAATTTAATTCGTAAGAAGTTTCCATGTGGAGAATAAAAGATATTTTTTCTATATTTTATTGAGTTAAATGGAATTGAATAGGTTTTTATAAATAATATGATTTAAGAGTTAATCTTATTAATAATAATTGCTCTATTAAAATAACTAAAATAATTATTTTAATTAGTAATATTGTAAAAAAATAATTTTAATATTATGCTCTGTTAAAGAAATTTCATTTTTTAAATAAATTAGTAATGTTAAAAATTAGTTCATTTTTTATATATGTTTTTTTAATAATCCTGTGCTTAATTTAATGGATAGTATTTTATTTACTGTGTATTTTTAATGGGTTAATAAATAATTTACTTATCTAAATTAATGATGGAATATCAAATTAATATATTTTACAATAAAGTAAAAGTTTTAATATATATATATATATATATATATATATATTTTTAAACGGTAATAGATTTTACAATAAATTAAAAGTTATAATTTAAAAATAGAAAAACCAAATTCTACATATAACTTCTACATCATCAATAATTGTATATAAAAATGAATTTTATGAATCCGTTAAATTGTACTTTTATATTATTATAATATTCTTAATAAATTTTGATCAAAATCAATAATAATAAAATATATAAAAATTTGCTTATAATATAATGACCGAATTTATTTAGTCTTTATTTGCTTTCAAAAATGGAAATTGTGAGAATAGAAAAGAAAAAAAAATTGAAGTTGTTTGGTTAAGTAGAAAAATAATAAATTTGATGAATATATATATATATATATATATATATATATATATATATATATAATTTGATGAAAATAATAACAGTTGATAGGTGTTTCTTTTAAAGTTCAAATGTTTTTGTATATTTTTTAATATTAAAAGTTTTTATGAAAAAAATATATAAAGATTGATGAATAATTAGTTTTTACTTATTTGAAAAAAAATCGTTAGTTAAATGGTTTTAACTATTTAATAAAATTTTATGTATAAAATAGCAAAAACTTAAATAGGAAATAATACAATTAAAAAGATAATAATTAACATTCAATTTTTAAATAAATGGATAAATAAAGGAAAATATATTTATTAAAATGATAAATAAATAAATAAATAAAAATATACAATCATGTTACTCGTATTTAAATTAATTATTTTTCATTAATTTTTATTATATAATTAGATAATAATGTAAGCAAAATTGAATTTAAATTTCTAACATAATTTGAATCTTATAAATAAAATTTGATTTGGAAAATTTTTTATTTAAAAAGTTGTACAATACTTTAAATTTATAGTATAATAATAATGTGACGTGTGAAAGGCAATTTGGAAAAATGCTCCAAATCTTTGGACTTTATAAGAAAAATATTAACCTATAATTTTCACCTTCTTCGTTTCAAATCAACCAAGTCACCTTCCATAAATTTCTCGGTAGACCGTGAGATACAAATTATATATATAATTGAAATATAAATTATTCATTAAATAATAGAATTTGTTGCATGTTGGCTTCTTTTCATTAGTCTAAAGTTTTTTTTGGATGTTATTATTAAAAAAATCTGTTTTATTCTTATTCTGTTATGAATTTCAATTAAAATTGAAAAAAATCATTCACGAAAATTACAATGTAATTTAAATATATATGATATTAAAAAATTTCTGTCACTTGAAGCATTGATAGATATTTTTTTAATAGTTTAAATATATTTTAGTTACTTTAAAAAATTTAGATTACTGATTGTATTTTAATTAGTAGTCTTTTTATTTTTTAATTCAACAAGTTCTAATATTAATTTTTATACAATAAAGAAACGAGTGTTTTTTTTATTATAAAAATATAAATCTATTATTAAATAAAAAATGAATTATATTGATAGAATTGTTACTAAATACTACATTATCTAATATATTTTAATTGAATAATATTTTTTAAACTCGTTATACTAGATTAATTATTTTTATACAAATTATGACATCAAATTTTATATTAATATAAAGTAATTAAACATATTTAATATGAATCAAAATAACAAAATATATCATAATGTAACGAAATCACTTTCCATTCTCATTATTTTAATTAAATAAACAAGATAGAGTATAACGCACATAAATAAATAATATTAATCATTATAAAACACATATCATATATTTTCAAAATACATGTAATTTTAAATGTTTACATCATAAAATAACTAAAAAAGTTGATTTACTATTAAAATTAAAGGAATAAATAATTTAATTTATAATTTAATTATATTTTATAAAAAAAATATTTTTATAAAATTTTAATACATTTCTATACATAAGAAAAAATTTAATACATTATTACATCCAAAAATAAATATCTCAAAAACTATAATTTGAAGCCTTCATGACTTTTAAAATGTCGTCAAGTTAATATAAATATATTACGTGTATAAATACTTATATGATATATCTATATGATAGATAATTTATATTTTTAAAATACTGTTTTATGAAAAAAAATTATAATATATGATAGATAATTTATGTATTAGGCTAATTTAAAACTAACCATACATGAACATATAACATAAGAATAGACAAAAAATTAGAATTTGAAGATTTATTTTGTGATTAAGCCTTTCATTTATATATATATATATATATATATATATATATATATATATATATATATATATATATATATATATATATATATATATATAATAAGGAGATTATGTTAATGGTTAATTAATGGAATTGTTATATTATTTATACTAAAAATATATTATATAATTAAATTATATATCTAAAAAGTATAATATCTTAAATTAAAATATTATTTATTACTTTTAGTATAATAATTAATATTTTCTATTTTTGTAGTATTAAACTAACTATATTCAATAATAAAGACTACAAAAATTAATCACTAAATATCAAAATTTTATTAAATGATACATGCTAGTAAATATATAGAAAGAAAAAATGAAAAAGGTTGGGTAAAGAAATTGACATCAAAGTTCCATAATGGAATATAGGGCATGAATGAGAGAAGAGAAATTATGTTGTAGTGTCCTTTCTAAGCACTTATGCTTAAATTATACGAAGATTTGTGAGTGTTCTTTTTTATTGTGAATTTTGAATCCTTTCATATTATTATCAGAACACTAACCAGATTTGATTTAGATATATTTTCTTCCCTACAAACATACACTTAGATGTTAGGTTTTCAATCATTAAATTGATTATGTTTTAACTATGAGTAGATTAATAAATAACAAGTTAATATTTTGATTACACAGTGATGGTTTCAATGAAGAACATGGTAGTAATAATTATATAAAGAGATTCTTATGGTTGAGACAAGTGAGAATTGAAGTCAAATTGAAAGAAAAGTGAAGTATATATGGATGAAAGAAAGAGACATTTGAACCAAAAATTTCAACCCTAGCCATTATTCTAACTTCAAATATTTCAAACAATTTTTTTTTTACCCTGTTATTACGGCTGACTTTCTCTCTATTTTAATTTCACCAGATCCAACACATGAAGCTAAAATAAAAGAAAAAAATGTTTTAGACTACATGACGGTGAGACACAATTTGGTAATTAACCAAGCTAAAATGATTGATACATAAAAAAACATTTTTATTTTGTTATGATTATATATATGAGACCTTATTTATTATTTTTAAGGAGAAGTTAACTTTGTTTTTTTTTTTTTACTTATTTACGTATTAAAATTAAAATTGATATATATGCAAACATTCTATTTATTATTTTAGAACTAAGACTAGATTCAACATGAATATAAAACAAGTGATAAAAAAATAATAATAATAAAAAAACATATTTTATCAATTTTAAATTTTTAAAAACTATTTCAATAAAATAATACGTTTAAACAAGTCTTTTAATTTTTAAAAACTACAAATTATTTTAGAAATCGATAAATAAATAATATTTCAAAACTCTGCAAACATCTAATTGTTTTCTTATCTAATGATAGAAACATTTAAAATTATTCTACTTAAAAAGTAACAAATTCACAATTAACTAAACAAATGAGTTAAACACTAGTTCTATTTACTTAACAAATCAAACTAACTTTACAAATTCTCCATCGTAATATTTTATATGAACTATGTAACATATTGTAGCCGAAATTAACCTGAATTAAAAGAGTTACATTATTTTTTACGCATATTTTTCAATACTTTTTATAACTCATTTTTCTCATTTAATAGGAGAAAAGTTTGTAAATAAAATTTATCAACGCAAAACACATGCATCCACCAACGACGAAAATGGAGACGCAACGCAATGACAGCGAGGTAACGTTGGCTTGTTGTGGTGGCTTTTCGATACTTTTAAAAGAAAATGGGTGCATGATGTTTCAAGAATTATTAGGGTTCACAATTATTTATGGTCTCAATTAATTTTAATTGTATATAATATTTATTTCAATTTTTTATTTATTTATACAAAATATTTTATTTTTTTAACGCATGATGCATTATATTTTATTTAATTATAATGTAAATGAAAACGTCTTTCAATAATTTTTTTTAGTATTTTGAGTATCATTTGCATCTGATTTTAAATGTCTTTTGTGTAATATATATTTTGGTCTCTTAAGAAAAAAGAAAAAACCTATCTTTCGATGCAAGATTATAACTTTAACTGGTAATGTAAAGAATTAATAGTAGATGCTCAGAACTAATTGTTGGTCTAATCAAGAATTATTATAAGAGAAAAAATCTCTTAAAAAAATTATAATATTAATTACTTAGTCGCTGATTTAGTGATAGAAGTTAATTTTCCTCATCATTTCTGAGGTTACAAAAATTTTAATGATGAATGTTTTAAAAAGTAATTTGAATTATTTCATCATTAATTTTTAAAAGTTAAAGTATATTAAAACCGAAAAATGTTTATAGATAAAGTTAAAGAAAATGAAGAAATAATTTTGTTTCACAACTCTGACCATAGATAAAGTTCTATATCATTAAAGAAAATTATTAAAAAAAATTAAACAATTTATTTAAAATTTTTAAAAATAAAAAATATATTTTTAAAATAACAAACACACGGGTTGACTTGATTTAGTTGTTGTTGTTTTTTTTTTAAAAAAAAAACTAAACTAAATGAACTCTATTATTCTATTTCATAACAACAAATCGGAAAAATATGAATTGTCTCAAAATTCGTAATTATGAAATTATACATGAAAATAATAAAGTTCTATTATGATGTAGCATAAAATGTAATTTTATTATAAAGTGCATAGATTTAACTTAATTCGGGTAAGGTGAGTTTCAAGTACCGAAATTTAGTACTTTAATTGATATTGGATCTACTTGTCAAAGATTAAAAAAAGCTATGATATAAATAATTCAATGATATTTCTCTAGAGATTTGAAAAGAATGATTAACCAAAATTATATCCTAAGGTTATGGACTAATGACAAGTCCTTATCTAATTTGTAGTTATGAATATGGATTCTTATTTGAATGGGGGCACTTATGGGCTTCAAATACATAATATACTTGTCAATGAGTGGACATTACTAGTTAGGTTAGACCTAATTTCCAATGGCTTGCCAAAATTTTTGAACTTCAAATGAAAAACAAAAAGTCGTACGAACCAGATTTATGATGCAAAATGGAACATTTTCATGCATTCACATATTTTTCACATTTATGAGTCTAATTATATTTAAAAAATATACAATTAAGTCAGAATTGTCAAATATACTTAAACAACTTGAAAATATTGTGAAGTTTCAAATATGCATAAAATAACTTAAAAAGATGTATAAAGTAACAAAACAAAAAAACAAGTTATCATTAATTCAAATATGCATTATGAATAAAGAAAATACATGACTAAAAATAAAAAAGGGAAAATGTGTTTTTGTTACGATAAAATGTCTTATTTATTAAAATAGTTTTTATAAATTTTTTTTATGAATACGATTTTTTTATTAAATTTTAAAGCCGGTTAAAATTTTTGTTGATATGATAGATGAAGATAGTGGCTTAATGGAATAAGGAAGAGATCAACAATATATAGAAAAATTCACCCATGAATTTCAAACCAAAAATTCACCCAATAATTTCAAACTCATCACCTTCACACACCCATTTTCATGGAGTTAAAAAGAATTTATAAAAAATCATAAATTGATTTTATAAGACTAGACTAATATGAAATTTACATATAGTATTTTAATAAATAGGTTATTTTACAAGAGAAAAAATATTTACCTAAATAATTTTTAATTAAAAAAGAATCATGTTTATATGATATACTGAATTAACACAAAAACATGTAATTTTAATCTTTCTTTATATATAAATTTAAATTATTTTTTGCCTTTAACAAATCTGAAACAGAATTAATATATTTTAAATATTTATTTATACTTAAATTTAATTTATTTTTTTTTAAATTAAAGACTAATTATCAATATTTTAAATACAAAGGCTAAAATTAAGTTTTAAAAAATATATTTATCTCTTATTTTAATAAATAAAACATTTTATAAAGACAAATAGCTATTTTACCCAAATAAAAACCTCTCCGGAAAAAATAATAACATTTTAAGCATCAATACCATACTCGTGGAAAAAAAAAACTTTATTAAAATAATCCTCTATAAATCAATAATAAATAAGTCATCGGTTTTCTCTGCTTATGTCTCTTCACTTTATACTAATCAAATTAAAAAATCTTAGTTTAATTGAGATTGAAAAACTCTTGGGCGTTGTATTTTCAGAGTGGAAATGTCAGCGAACCAATCGTTTGAACCATGTACGAGTGCAGAACTTCAACGCAAAGTTGTCTCTGAATTCAAAATCTAAAGATAAAATAGAACAGATAAAAAATGGAGACTGACTGGAAAAAGGGTTAATCATTCATATCCATATACAACAAGTAGAAACTGTTTCATCTCAAAATTTTCTTTACACTAATTTAGTACAATGATACCACTCAAACTGCAATGGCTCCTACTAGAAGTAAGTCCTAGAATTAAATAAAGAGTATAAACAAAAAGAAAAAAATAGGACTCTTTTAGTGGTCTGTTCTATGCATATACAATATTACAGATCCCTTCTGCATAATGGGCAAGAACCATGCCTGAAGAGCCACTTATCTATGCAAGGTAGGTGAAACATGTGATGGCAATGAGGTAAGCTTCTTACTGTTTCTCCAAGCTGAAAGTCCTATACATGCACAAATGTAGAAATGTTTATAACATGCACAATCTTACAAAGTACAGAATTTTACTGATACGGCAAGGGAAAGTGTAGAAACTAACCTGCAGGCAAACTGAACAAGAAACTCTATCACCGGATGCATCAATATTGTTGTCAGTTGTAATTTTGATTTTTGGGATTTTTTCAACCAAATCTCCAGATAAACCTTTGGCACCACCGGTGTCAAAGATGTTTTGAACCTCATCAAAGCTGGTTTCAACAGCACCCATCTGATAAGCAAAAACAGAGGTGTCAGCATGAAGAGGAAGTTCACACGCAAATCTCAATCTCATCACTGCAATAAGTGCATGTTTGGATTAAAGTTTACAAACTCATGTTTTAATGGATTTCATTTTGCTGACTGAGTTTGCAAAAGCAACCTTGATATTATTACTTTCAGTTGAAGCTTGGTTTGAGGCAAATGTAGTATGGTAACGTACTTGAAAGGGATATCATATCAAACATATATAAACAAACCTAGTTTTCCACTCAAACGTATATTGGAAGTAACCAAACGGTAAACCAATCATAGCCTCAGTCCTTTGGGCAAAGAAAATTACCTGACTTTGAACAGCACTCAACATGGCTGGACCAATCCTCTCACGCACAAGTCTCCCACTCAGTAAGCTGGCGATGACATCAATCTGCATACCTAAAAAGATCAGGCTACACCACATGCAATTCTAAATGATAAACAAAACTCAGGGGGTGCAACACAGTAAGTTTACAAACCAACATAGGATTTCATTGTAATCATTTAGCAACATCATGAGCTTGCTTACACACCCAACAAATGCTCCCAATTTGACAAGAGACAAAACTTACATGTCATTCTTTAAAAGTTTTTGTGTTGTTCAGAAATCAAAATTGGGGTTTCATCTGGCTAATCCACATAATAAGGGTTTGCATTAAAGGATAATGCAAATTTATGAAGTAAAACTCCAATTCTATTTGAACGATGGTGCATCAAAAGTACTTAGGAATTTGTATTTAAATTTTGTCCTTCAACAAGGCCCTGAAAGCTGAGTAAACTCACCAAATATAACACGCAACCAATTCCAGATTCGTCAGATTGCCAAAGGACAAGAGATGATTCAAACACTTCAATGGAAAATACAGCTCCTGATATGGCACCAACCGCAGCCCCTCGAATGAAGCCACTCTCAGTTTCTTGTCCTATCAAAGCTCCAGTCAAGGCCCCCAACAAAGTGCCCACTGCAGATATAACAACAACATCAAAATTCGTTATTCATTAAAGAAAGCATACGGTGCCCGTAGGATAGAAAAACATTAATCACAACAAAACTTTGTACGTTTTTTAAGACGAATATAACAAAACAAGACAACACAAGCAAAACAATCCGACCAAGAAATGGCATACCCCCACTCCAAGTTTCAAGTTTCATTTTTTTAACAAAAAGTCTAAAAATCATGCAGTTCTGTCTCAATCGAAAGCCCCCAACAACACACAACAGCAGACAATGACAACAATCCACCAAAAAAGATTTAAAAAATGACAAGAAAAGGCCAAACTCATGATGATACGAGGAAAACAGAAGCAGATCAAGAGTTTCGTTTTGAAATGCAACGAATGAGAATGGAAATTCACAGAAGGGAAAGAAGAACCGAACCTAATGCGAAGCAAAAGGTCAAGATCGCAGAGAATATGTTCCCAATGACGGCAGAGACGGCAAGGGTACCAAGCTGCTTAACCCTCTCGACGAGATTCCCGAGCGAAGCTGAACGCAAAGGACATGGATTTGGCACAAACTCCATCTGGGTGTCTCAGAAATTGCAGGAATTCGAGACAAATTGAAACCCACAAAGGAAATAGGTAAAGAGGGTACGGTCTGATGTCACAGGATTTGGGTTTAAGGAGAAGTTCCAATTAATATATATGTTAACATTAACAACAACAATAATAACGATAAGAATAAAAGACGCGCTCTTGTGCAATGCCTTAGTCTATAAGCATGAAAGAAGATTGAAAGAAGATACAAATTGCAATCAACCAACTCGCATTTAAAGCTTATGTGCCTTTAACGCGACCCTTTCCCTCTCTCTATATATCTTTATGGCTAATTTTTTTCAGCAAAGGAAACATTTTGGGTATAATCTAAATTAATTTTAAAATTAAAACAAAAAATCGCTTTCAAATGCCACGGGACGGTGTTAAAAGAGAAGGGCGTGGCAAACCAACCACGAAGAGTCACGAGAATTTAGTTTGGTTTTTTGATTTTTCCATCACTCGTTTTTGTTTTGGGTCAGAGCGTGCTTTCAAGCTTAGACTTGGAGTTGGAGGCTTTGATTGGCTACGGTTTTCTCTGCAACTTGTACGACCACACTGCTTATTTTCCACATTTTTTTATTATGCCAATTAATAATTAATAATGGTGCCTAGATTTTCTCAGCGTTATTTTATTTGTCTGGTCCCTCTGATTGAAAATATCTTCCTGGGTTGGGTCCAGTAGGTGGATAGCAGCAGACTTTGCTGGGAATGGGTTTGGGATTGTATCAGATTTGTTCTGTGTCTCACATAATATTATTATCCCCTCACTCATCCTAATCCATGCACTCCAAGTTACCCCGAAATTTAGTGCAAGTAATTTCATTTTATTTTAAATCATTTTTATCATATATTATTAGTCAAACAACATTTGTAAATTATATACAATGGCCTCATCCTGATCCTCTCTTTTTAACCTAAGAATACTTTTTTTTTTATGTATATACACACGAAAGATATACAATCTTAAAATAAACATTAATATCATTGTGTATATATGTTCAGCCATAGCAGTCTCTTTCTTACAAACACAGTCATATCCATAATTTTTGTTTATGTTGTTTGTTATCGAATTAGTTTGACCTTGGTTTCAGGTTCCTAGTGGTAGAGGGGACATACTAATGTTTCAAACTTGTAAAAATTAACATGTATAGCTTAAAAAAATGCTTTGTACTTCTTATATTTATTTTTCAAATTAAATGATTGATTATTTTAAATTTTAATTATTTATGTAAAAACAGTAAAATAACTTTCCATGAATTTCTTTGTATTTGCTGTAAACATATTTGAAAGTATTACACCATAATTAAAAAACAAAAACAAAAAAGACAACCAATGTATCTTCTCAAGTAAACAAGTGATTAAATTCTTTATCAGTTGGAATGTTAGTGTTGTGTTTGATTCATATATAAATATATTATAAATTGTTGAAATTTTGAATGTGAATTAAACTTCAACGCAAACGTCACTTTATACAAACCAATAAACACAAGGTTGGAATTTACATAAGTGAAAAAGACGTTTAGTTTTATGTTTAAATACTATGGGTTTTTTTTTAATGTATCTTATTAATGTAAATTTTTTAAATACTATGGGTTTTTTTTAAAATACTAGTTGGAATGTTAGTGTGTTTTTTTTTAATGTATCTTATTAATAAAATAAGTGTTTATTATAATTTTTAATATGTTGGATAAATTTATTTAAAAATAGAAGGTTAAAAAACAAACACAATACTTTTTTGAAAAATATATATTTTTTTATAAATTTTTTTTAACTATAATTATTTTAAACATAAAATTTCATTATGCATTTTTTATTTGTATATTTATTACATCTTACCTACTCAAATTTAAAAATTAAGTCTTTCGACTAAATCAAAGATAATTAGCTGTAACATAGATATCTCTATAAGATATTAAGTAATCGAAATACTCCACTCCTCTTTAAAATGTAGACATATACCAATAAAATATGAATAAACATTCTATGATTTTCGTGAAATTCCTCAACTATTATCTTATAAAATGATTGGTATATGTTTCATTTCCCATATCTTTGAATTCATTATCCATTTATTTACTAATTTAAGTATAAAAAATATTTTTAAGTGATTCCTCCTTTCTTTCCAATACATTGGGTCAGAAATAATCTCGTAAAGCTCGATCAGTGTAAGATCATTATCGTATACATGATATATATAATATCCGAATAAAACATTAATTCTTCCCTTAAATTATACAAAATTTAGAAAGAAAATAAGAGAAGATCAAAGAAGATCTATAAGTGAACAAGTCTTAATAAATATCATATGATTTATTATGCTAGGTAGTTGCTTAAGGCAATATTATTAAAGTCTAAAACAAGTGCACCTAATGTTAGATGCGAGGGTTTTCTATTCACAAATATGTAATTTTCCTAAACGAACACGACTAGAATAGTGGGAAGTTGCAACGTCAATTTCTATATATTGCCAATTCCCGTTAACTTAGGTTGTGCTCTCTAGAGTGATCCAATTTCTAAACTTTGCCAATGATTTATGGATGAGATTCAATGCACAAAACAGTAAAATACGTTTATGAGTGCTCTTTTCTTCTTGAGGGCTCCCAGAAGAACATCAAAATTATAAGTTAAGAATAAAAAATATTAGATTTCTCATGCTGATTGACCAAGCATGCATGCATGCAAATCCCTTTACTTGACACAAATCTTCAACTTTCTAGACTGCTGGTGTCATCAAATCTATGCTTTGTCTATACTATGGTGCTGGTTTTTTAACCCTTATCAATACCACTGCACAATGACCTTAACACAGTTATTAGAGTCTATAGGGTATTAGGTCAACTAAGAGCTTCAACAACAATAACCCAACAAAAGATATCTTTTTTGACCATTGCATATATATTTTTCTTTGAGTGTTCTAGTGTTTTCTGGTAAGTACAGAACTTAGATTTCATGAATGAATGTTCCAGATGAGATTTGGAAAAAGATAAGGGTTGAAATAAAAAGCTGAGAGTTGGAAGAAAAAGCTTAATCTAGAGGTACTCATTAAATTTGTGGTGCAAGTTACACCCACGTATGTTACGAGTTGCAATCTTCAACTTGTGCATATATTGAAAATTAATAAGATTTTTCTGGGGCAATGGAGTACGAAAAAACGCACTGGTTAAATGGCAAGACCAAAAAGAAAAATGAAGTTTGAGTTTTAGGGAGGCCAAACAGTAGATTAATTAAGAGACCAGACTTTTTTGTTGGCAAAGTTTCTAAAAAGGCAACTGTAGATAAGATGCCAAAACGTATCAAGTGACCGCCCGTTCGTCGTGAACTGTTAATGGTTTCGTGAGATTAATATTTATGTTAACTCGTCGGATTAATACGTAGGATACGATGAGTTAGTTTTCAATCTACCTAATTAATAAAAATATAATTTTTTTATTAAAATATTATTAATCATAAAAATAATATATAAAATAAAAAATTATAAAAGAGATAAAAAATTCTCACACTCACCCTCGTTTAAACACAAACTCCTATATTCTTATTGATATTCATCCTCTCTTCTTGTTAATCTTAAATACGAATTATTTTATTTTTTATAAATTAAAGATATAAGAATTACTCAAAAAGAAAACAATGTGAAGTTTTATCAAATAAAAAAAATATAAATATTTAAATTTTTAATATAAAAAATATAATTTTTAAAATTTTTAACATTATTTATATATTTGTTATTATTTATTATTATATAAATTTTATTATTGTTTTAAATTATAAATTTTTAGAATAATAGGTTGATTTATATTATTAACTTGAAATATATATATGTTGAATTTTTTATAAATAAATGATAATTATGTTATTAAATTTATTAAAAATTTGGATTTAAAAAATATTTTTTTTAAATTATGGTGGGCTAGTCCGCCAATCTACCATTTGGCGAGACGAGTCAAAGTTTATAGCTTGTCATGATTACAATGAGCTAGTCCCCCTTGCCTCAGCCTGTTTTTGGAGGGCCAAAAGCGTAACATGCTAATACATGACGGATTAACCCATTTTGTCGTCCCTAATTATAGATAAAACATGTAATTTAAAAAAGTTTGATGGAGTCAAATGGGTGGTAGAAACATCATTAAATATTTGACAAGAAAAATAGATATATAACTAAAGGTGTCAATATGGTTATATGGGTTTTAACTTGTGAGCTAATCCAGCTCACCATGAGTTTGAGTCGGATTGAGTTCGATTTTTTTCATTTCTATCAATAATAGGTTAAAAATGAACCTAACTCACGGGTTAAACGGGTTCGAACTGGGTTATGGTGGGTTTACCTGCAACCCAATCGTTCATTTTAAAATTTAAAAATAATTTAGTAATTTTAATTAATATTTGTTTTTCACCTCTATTCCATTTCGTCACTACAATTCAAACTCTCATTCAAGATTATCATCAATTATGTTATAATGTTTGTCGTGTTTCAGTTATGTATTTCAATCGCATCATAACTTTTATCATGTTAATACCACAACGTTTCAATCTCGCATTTTAATCGCGTCACACATTTGTCACGCCCCGCATTCGTTGCATCACCACGTTACTACTGTGTGTCAGTCGTATTATAGTGTTTGTCGCATTTCAGTTACATTACAGAGTTTATTGTGTCACCATATCATTAAGTTCAGTCCCGCTATCCAATCGTGCTTATTAGAAAAAAAAATTATAATTTATTGAGTTAACCTACCAACCTATAGTGGGTTGAGTCAGATTGTAAAATTTCTGACTCGCCGTAAAGTTAACTCACTTTTAAAGCCCTATATATATATATATATATATATATATATATATATATATATAAGAAGGTTTAGACCTCAATGGAAGAAACTTTCTCATAATTAATACTTTTATAAAAGAAATTATAATGTAGTTTACTACGTATTAGTTTTAAAAATATTATAAATAAATTGATTTTTTTCTCTAAAAGTACTAATATTTTTATTTTTTTTCTGAGAATGCATACGGGGAATTATTTTAAATAGAGCCCTTATACGTTTGGTCACTTATTTAACTGTTCCAAGATAGACGTTGGAACCAACAATTGCTGTTCAGCTTGTTCCCCTGTAAGAGAAAATCTTAATAAACGATACTTATGTGGTCATGGTAGTGAATATGCATCACGTGCACTGTTGGCATGTCAAGAAGTGAGGAATGTGGTTTTGCATCTCCCTTGGTCACAAGAATTGATCAAAGCATTCAGTGATTTAGAGAGTGAATATATTTCTAGTTGCAGCATCAAATTGAGGTTAACTTTTTCAGCATATTATGGACAATCTGGCTAGGAAAAATATGTTAAGGTGTTTCAGCAGAGGATGTGACTAAAACAAATCCTGTCAAAGGTAAGCTAAGTTGTTCTTATCAAATTAGACTATTACACAAAGGGACTCAATCATTTGGCACCAACTAGTACTAGATCACATCAAGGAAAAGATAGATGCTTCAATAGCCAAGGCTAATGGAACATGTTTTGATGTGATGTTAGGGACTACGAAGAATTTGTACTTGCATGGGTTACAAAAAAAATGAACAAATTGTATATCAATCAAAATTAGCAATGGAACTTATGGCATTTAATAAGAAAATATTATTAATACAGACTAAAGAAACATATAATATGCATAATATCCCCCCTTTCGTGTTTCACATTACTTATTTACTTTTTAAATGCCTACTTGGTGCTTGTATCATCTCATTTCTGCAAACCAAATTTTTGCCTAATTGTTCCCTTCCCATTCACAAAATTAATTATCTCCATTGTTTTCACCACTTTTCCTCTTTATTTTGGGCTTTCTTGGAATGCTTACACCATGGTATACTTGTTCTATCAACTAAATACTAATACCACAATCTTCTACATAATTCGTTTCTCCTTGGGAATGTTTTTGGTAAGTAAAAATTAGTTTATGTAGACAATTCAGGGTTTAAAATTACTTTACGTAAAACGATTTACAAGTTTCTTCAATTATTTATTGAAATAGTTTATTTAAAACATTCAAAATTAGGATTTTAAAATTTGATATGCCACCTTCAAATTTTATAGCCAATTTATGAGATTAAATAGGTAGTAGGCTAAATTGCATATTGGTTTCCAACATTATAATTATCAAAATAATTTTGAATTTTAAATCCTAAAAAAAAAGTAAGTGTGAACTTATTTTCAATTAAGATATCATTAAATAAATTGACTATCAGACTAAGCAAGAATCACTAACATAAAAAATAAAAAAAGTAATGACAAATGAAAATGTAAAAAAGAAAAGTTTTACACTAGAAAATTTATATTAGTGTTTACCTTTTGTGTTATAAAAAATATATTAATTATCTTATAAATCACTTTAATTTTTTTTCTCTTTTTTACTAGTGTATTGTATAGTAGTTGAGTTCTCTTATTATTTTTAGAAAACATTTTATTATTTTGTTTTTTTTAGATTTAGATAAGATATTATAATTTCTTCAAATAGTAAAATTCTATTGTTGTTTATTGTAGGTTTTGTTTATCTTTTCTCATATTTTATTTTAATTATGAGTTTTTACGCAATTATTCTATTATTCTTCATAATTAACCTTAATTACAATATACTAAATTCAGATTATTGTACCTATTACAATAAATTTGATGAAAATGATTTTATATAGGCTAAATAAAATTCAAGTCCAGATTTTAATATTAAGAATTAGAGACTAACAAACAATATTGCAGAGATGCAAATTCACATAGACAAAAAATATATGAATGTTTGACTTTATCTCACTGAAGGTCTTGCATATTACTTCAATATACAAGGGAATATATGAATGTTTAACTTTATTTTACTAAAGTTTTTGCAGTGCTTTAACATATAAGGGTGCAAGTGTAAGTCAATTTCTACACCAGGTTATCCTCAAGTATCAGTCATAGCAATGAAGCAGAGAGAATGAAAATATCTCGAGTATTATATGCATCGATGATGATGAAAAGTGTTATGAATACCTTGATCAGTACAAGATCAGACATTGCACAAGTATTGAGAATGATTAGTAAATTAATGACAAATTGTGGAGAAAAACATAAGTATTATAAAAAGAATTCTTATAATAAAAAGAGTATTAAATGTTGTATTATGTTTCGGAGGATAAAAATTAGTTGTCAAATGTTTGTTCAAGTTTTATAATTGATATTACTGAGTTTATTTTTATTAGAGGAATAATAATTGATTATTCAAATTATAAAATATTATAAAATTTTATTATTATCTATTATCAATTATATATATATATATATATATATATTTTTTTATTGTAAGTTCTTGTGTCATTATTTTTAATTCTTAATGTAGTGCAACATTGCTGCCAACGAAGCCGGGAGGCATACACCAAATGCTAACGCCAAAGACACCTGGAAGAAAAAAAAAAAAAATGAAGCGAGAATGCGAAATCAATTGATATTCATTTAACTTAAAAAGAAGATAACATATATGTTAGTTTAATTTTTCTAATTGATATAATAAGTATTAAGTTGTAAAACTTTACTATTTCGTTCTTGTTTAAAACCATCATAACAACTTATTATATTAAATAGAAGCTAAATAGATAAGTAAATATGTTGATTAAAAAATGAATTTATATAATAAGTTGGGTCTTATTAGTGATAATCTCATTACTATACTCAAATAACAACCTTCACAATAAATTATTATAAAATTTGTGTTTTGCATTTAGTGTATTTCAACAGTAAATGTCTTTTAATCAAAGAAGTCAAAAGAGCCCACAACGTATTAATGTCCATAGAAGCTCGTGAGTTAAATAATTAATCAACAATACAAAAGTTAAAAATTTAAAATAGAAGGAGAAAAGGAATGAAGAATCATGTCCTTTTTTTGAAGAGATGACAAATAAGTGTTTTAAAAAAATAAATTGAAGAGGTTAAATATATTTTTGTCCTTTATTTTTTAAAATTGATTTTAATCCTTATATTAAAAAATTGATTAATTAGTTCTCAAACTTAAAAAATTGGTAAATTTAGTCCTTTATTAATTAATGTTATAACAATAAAAAGTATTAAATATTAAATTTAGATTTAAAAAAATATCATATTTAATCTTTTTATTATTTTTTAAAACTATAAAAATTATCATTAAATATTACATTTAAGTATATAAAATTATTAAAATAACATATTTTCATAAGTTGGAAGACTAATTAATATTTTTAAAATATAAGGATAAAACAAATTTAACAAAAATAATATAAAGACAAAAATTTGGTCATTAACTATAATCGATCACTGATTAAAATAATAAATAATTATTATTGATCATATTTTTTTTGTTGGTCATTGATATATAATACCGAATCAATGACTAATTTTAAAATCTAAGATTTAATAACTAAATTAGCGAATAATTTTTAAATTTAAGATTCATGATTAAATTGGCCACTAAATATATATTTATTTAACTATAATTTATTAGAATTCAAACATATTTTATTACATTAAATTTAATTTTATTATTGATTAATTATTTTCAAAATCGTCCTTCGTCCCGTTTTGTGTATTGTGTATTAAGAAGAAATCTCATTTTTATTTCATAATTTTTTATAGAAATAATGAGTGGGGTTAATTAGTTGCATGCATTTTTCACTAGAGATAAATTTAGGAGGATGGGATGGGCAAGTAAGAAGTTTTAAGTAAAAAGTTTGGGGTATTTATCAACTAATTAAAAAGTTTAGTAAAATTATAGAGTTATGATAAATTGACATTAGTGTAATTTTAATTTAATATTAACTATAATTTTAGCTTCTTTATATATTAATTTAAAAACATATGATTCAACTCTTAAAATCTTAAATTTATTTTGATGCTAACTTACATCTCACTAATTTAGTTATTAATTAAAAATATAAAAATTTATTAAGTTAAGTTTCAAATTTCATCTAAACTATTTATTTATTATATTTTTGATATAATAAAATTTGTTATCCTCATATTAATATAAATTTAGTTTTAGAAAGACTTATAAAAAAATTCATAAATATTTGTTCAATCCAACTATAGATCATTATAATTAAAATAAATAAAAAACTAATTAAATTATCATAATCAAATTTAATTACTATCTTTTAAATTCTAATATTTTTAATCATTTATATCTAATAAATAATTTTTTATGAGCTTAAATTTTAGATAATTAAACATAAACCTTATAAAGGAAATTTTTTTTATAATATTAAAATCATAATTATCAGAAAGCAATAAAAAAATGTAAAATAAATAAAATAAAGAATGAAATCATTTATATTTATATTTATATTAGTACACGTTTAATAAAAGAAATAATTTTAATAATAAAAGAAATTTAATTACTATCTTTTAAATTTTAATATTTTTAATCATTTCTATCTAATAAATATTTTTTTATGATATTAAATTTTAGATACTTAAACATAAACATTATATAAGAGATTTTTTTATAATATTAAAATCATAATTATCAGAAGTTTTTTTAAAATTATTTTATAAACGTGATGACAATAAATTATATAATTTAGGGACAAATTTAAATAATATTTTTACAAGGATAAATTCTAGAAATATAAATAAAATATGTTGTTATATAACAATATAACTATATTTTTACCCGACATATAATAATTTTTTAAAATAAGAAAATATAAAAAATAATCACTTTTCATTTTGATTTTTTTTATATATTAAATATACGATTAAAATTAGTATAGAGTAAATGTTTATTACATTAGGTTAATTGTTTTTTTATTAAATTATAATATTTTTCTCTTATTAATTTTATAGGAATTCCAATACTATAATAATTAATATACTTAATAAATTCCAAATGAACAATATTAAAAAAACACACACAATTTATCACATTGCACAAAATGGTTTTTTAGAGACATTTTCAACATTTTTTTCTTATCACTCTTGTATTTTATTACTCAGAATTTATTGAAATAGTAAATTTAGTGCATTTCAATTTTAAATTGAAAAAAGAGAGTAAAATTACAAAAATGATGTATAGTGAATGTCAGCTAATCACTGTAATAAAAGTGTAGTTAATATTTTTCATTAAAAAAATACAAATTTGGTCCTGATGAAAAAGAAAAATTATTATAATTATATAGTATATAATTGAATATTTAAATATGAGAAAATTTGTATAATTTTTTTTGTAATTATATTTAATTATTAACTTTTAAAAGACTATTTTATTTTTAAAACATAATTTTTAAAATTAATTTAATAATAAACAAGGGACTTTTTTATTAAATAATAAAAAGTAAAAATTAATTTCATAATTTTTATTTATTTAAGACCAGATTAAAATTTTAATTGTTTTTGAAAGGCTAAATTCATGCACACATGCAACTACCAAGTTTGGATATTGACTTATTTATTTTTTTCTACTGCTATGCCGTGCAATATTTTTCTTTCTGTGCGTAACGTAAAGATATTCGGCCAAAAAAAAAACAAAAGGAATAAAGAAAAAAGAGGCCTTTCTCAAAATTGTTGAATGAAAAGTGAGAGGATATGCACTGAATCATGTGATTACGATTGCACGTAATCCACACCATATTTCACTATTTCAGTCCATAACCAAAATGGAGCAAATTAAATAATACTTTACTACCCTCTCCAACTACATTTCACTTCCCTTCTATCTCAATATACCTAACCACTCTCTTTCTCTCTCTTCTGTTCGATCGATCTCATCATCAATTTCCGAGACCATGGGTAACACGATCCTCTTTCACTCTTGCTTTTTTTGCCAATCGAACTTGATTAGGTGTTCTTGTTGTTATTTTTTGGATTTGGTTCGTTCGTGCAGCCACTGAGAACCCGTTCAGTAGCATTCTGAGGACGCTCGAGAAACCTGCTGGTGGTGAGTTCGGAAAGTACTATAGCTTGCCCGCACTCAACGATCCTAGAATCGGTGAGTTACTGATTTTCAATTTCAAATGGTTGATGAGAGAAATGTTGAAGTAATCACCGGCCAGTTTTGTTTAAATTCGCTTCCGTGTGAATTGGTGTTGATTTGATGGTTCAAATGGTTGATGAGAGGAATGTTGAAGTAAACACCGTTCAGTTTTATTTAATTTTACTTCCGTGTGTTGTTAATTGGTGTTGATTTGATGGTTCTGTTTCTCAGTTGCATTTTATATGTTGCTATTACGTGTGTCTGGTGAGATCTGCTACTGTTTTTTTAGTGTTGATTTGTAAGTTAAGTTTGAATCTGGAGAAGCTGGGAATTGATGGTGACATTCATGTGTTTGTCACTACAGAGAGACTTCCTTACTCTGTGAGGATTCTTTTGGAATCTGCAATTCGTAATTGTGATGAGTTTCAAGTCAAGAGTCATGACGTTGAAAAAATTATTGACTGGGAGAATACCTCTCCCAAGCTGGTGGAGATTCCGTTCAAGCCAGCTAGAGTGCTTCTGCAGGTGAGTAACATGAGGATGTTGATACTGAGTTATATTGCTTTTGTGAAATGCTTTGAGTGTTCAGTTGACTGAGGTCTCTTGAATGGTGATATCAGGATTTTACTGGGGTACCTGCAGTTGTTGATCTTGCTTGCATGCGAGATGCAATGAACACACTTGGTGGTGATTCTAATAAAATTAACCCCTTGGTAAGCCACATGTTTGTCAACATTCATTCAGATTAACATTGTTTTTTCAAAGCATTGGGTATGTGTTAATGATTTTAAATTTGGTTTCCTTCAGGTACCAGTGGATCTTGTCATTGATCACTCTGTTCAGGTTGACGTGGCAAGATCAGAAAATGCTGTTCAGGCAAATATGGAACTTGAATTCCAAAGAAACAAGGAAAGATTTGGTTTCCTTAAATGGGGTTCAAATGCATTCAATAATATGCTCGTTGTTCCTCCTGGATCAGGGATAGTTCATCAGGTAATTGCATCATTTTGTAACCAGTGATACCGATGTATGTGTATGGATGCAATACATAATATTTTGTATGATTCTGAAGTGTTTAATTTCTGAATGTTTTTATTTTTACATGGAAGAAAGCTTTTTCTTTCATTAGTGATTCCAGTTTGTCTCAAGTTTTATGATTTTACTTTTTGCAGGTTAATTTAGAATACCTTGGTAGAGTTGTGTTCAACACAAATGGTTTGCTTTATCCTGACAGTGTTGTTGGAACTGATTCACACACAACTATGATAGATGGCCTGGGGGTTGCTGGATGGGGAGTTGGTGGAATAGAAGCAGAAGCTGCAATGCTTGGCCAGGTAAACCTAACATACTAATTTGTCATAGAACTCTCTGAGTTAAAACTTTTAAAATTAGAGAGTGGAATTATTTATTCATTGAGTATCTCAAAATTTCCAATTCTCTTCTTTGTATTAACAGTATATATTATATTTATACCTGTGTGGTTTTGACCAATGGAGATGTTATTGTTAAATACATGTATTTATCTCTGATATTTTTTCAGCCCATGAGCATGGTCCTACCAGGTGTTGTTGGGTTTAAATTATTAGGAAAACTACGAGATGGTGTCACAGCCACTGACTTGGTGTTGACTGTTACTCAAATGCTGAGAAAACATGGGGTTGTTGGCAAGTTTGTGGAGTTTTATGGTAAATACTAATTTATGCAAATAATGCAGTTATATCTTTCTTTTGTAGCATAATCTGTCTAACTGATTAATCTTCCCTTGGATAATTGTTTTCTACCTCCATAATGCAGGGGAAGGCATGAGTGAACTGTCTTTGGCAGATCGTGCCACCATAGCAAATATGTCTCCTGAGTATGGTGCAACGATGGGCTTCTTTCCTGTGGATCATGTCACTTTGCAATATTTGAGACTGACTGGCAGAAGTGATGAGACTGTAAGTAAACACCTGTGTCACTGCCATGATATTTTTGGTTGTCTACATGTGCTTACATGTCTTTCTTACAGGTTTCTATGGTAGAGTCCTATTTACGAGCAAATAAAATGTTTGTGGATTATAGTGAGGTATGCCAAGCATATATTTCGTTTTTGGATATTTATATAAGAAATGTCTGGAAGGACCTGTTCTGACTGGGATTTTGCTTTTGTACAGCCCCAAGTAGAGAGAGTGTACTCATCGAATTTGGAACTCAATCTTGAGGATGTAGAGTCCTGTGTCTCAGGTCCAAAAAGGTAATGAGCTCTTGTGTGTTCCACTTAAAAAATAAGGGTAAACTATTCTCCCATATTCTTCTATTTTGCATTTACATTTACTACACATGCCATCTATTAAAAAAACTGTACATAGAACTTCCTTGCTTTAGAAAAATTAAAACGTTATCATCCTAAATGCTATAAAGTCTTACAAATTCATTGAAAACGTCATTCCTACCCTTATTCAGACATATTCTGACAAAAAGGGACGAACACATTCATTTGGCTTAGCACAATTGATGCTTAAATTTGACTATGTAACATCTATAAGCTACTTAGTTACCAAGTACGTGATGTTTAATGACATGGTGGAGTGTTGCGTTTTATATTTTAGTGAATACGGTGGAGTTTTGTGTAGGGTATCAAAATGGAGAGTCTATATAATACGGATGGATTAGAAGGGAAGAACATATATTTTATTCTAAATATAAAATTGCAATTTCAGTTTTTTTTGTGGTGTAACCCTTGCTTAAATCTTTTCAGGCCTCATGATCGTGTCCCTTTGAAAGAAATGAAGGCCGATTGGCTTGCCTGCCTCAACAATAAAGTTGGATTTAAGGTATTCATTTTATTTTTAGTGTTGAAATATCTAGTAGCAATGTTGCATCTTATCTCTTCAATCTGTGGTGTGTAAGTTTTCATATCCTAAGTTATCAAATATGCTCTCTTGGTGTTAGCATCTGTGTGTGTGCCCGTGTTTGTTGGTGGGAGGGGCTCTGCTATGAAATCTTCCATGAAATGTGCCAATCCAAGGCACCAGAAAGGTAAATTGACTAGTTTTAGGTGTGCACCTTCGACACATCTTAATGATTCGGATAAGGCACACCTCTAGCACCTTATTGATATATATATATATATATATATAAATTAAAAGAGCCTAGCCACTTAATTTTTGTGATTCTAAAGGTCATAAAATAATCAGAAAATAAGAAAGAGCCCGACATTTGATGTGTAATTATTATTATGAATGATATGCTTATGCAGTCAATTCCTACGGCAAATTAATAGAAAATAGTCATATATTTTACGATTTATGTAATTTAATAGCCACCTTGTGTTGAAGTGTGCACTTTTTGACCCCTCATCATGCGTGTCAAAGCCCCCTTAGTACCTCAGGATGGCCTTCACCTTTGACTGCCTGGGATGAAATTTGAATTTACAATCCTGCATATAAGAGCTCATTCCTTCTACCAGGAAGTTAAATAGTGCAGTTGACTATATTTTTATCATAGTTCCATGCTATTAGTATTTGGGGCTTGAGTGATTTTGTTGTTTGAACTGTAAAATATTGCATTATTACAGGGTTTTGCTGTACCAGTAGAATCTCAGATTAAGGTTGCAGATTTCACATTCCATGGGACACCAGCACATCTTAGACATGGTGATGTTGTTATAGCTGCTATCACCAGCTGTACAAATACTTCAAATCCTAGCGTTATGCTTGGAGCTGCATTGGTTGCAAAGAAAGCTTGTGAATTGGGTTTGCAGGTTAGTAGATGGTTATGTATTTTGTACCTTCACCATTTTAACTTTATGATTTAACTTAATTATGATTGGCGTGCACATATAATATGGTTAAATCTAACAAGAGGTTTGCCCCTTGCTATATACTCTGTTCCTATAATAGGACTATATGATAGAGTATTGAAAAACATGATCTTGGTTATACTTTTGGTGTCTGATTGCATTTTTTATCTTATATCATTGTTAAAGTGTAATGGGGTTGCACTTTTATCTATCTATCTATCTATCATTATTGTCTTGGTTAATGTAGCACTTAGTATATATACGTAATCTCATTCCTTTCTCGTTTATGAATAATGTTGAAGTTATAGTAGCAAGTTTTTAAGTCTAGTAGTTAGTTACGTATTTGACAGAATACATGATGATATTTAATTTTATTATTATTTCCAATGTTGTTTGTTGCTAATTGTTTGCAATTGTTTCACAATTTGATATTGAATATTAGGTGAAGCCGTGGATTAAAACAAGTCTTGCTCCAGGTTCTGGTGTTGTAACTAAGTATTTGCAGAGAAGGTATTCTTTAGAATATAGTCAAGTGTATTAAATCCATAACATGGCATACTAAATTGTCTTGATTCCTGAACTGCTCCTGGCACATGTAGTGGCTTGCAGAAGTATTTGAATCAGCTAGGGTTTCATATAGTTGGGTACGGATGCACTACTTGCATTGGAAATTCAGGGGATATTGATGAAGCTGTAGCATCTGCAATTACTGAAAATGGTACATACTCTTTTGTAAATAATATTTCTTAATACTCACTTGATAACCTTAAGTTTTTACCTAACCATTGGTTTTCTGAATATTCCAGATATAGTAGCTGCAGCTGTATTATCTGGAAATAGAAACTTTGAGGGCCGGGTTCACCCATTAACAAGAGCTAATTATCTTGCTTCTCCTCCTCTTGTTGTTGCATATGCCCTTGCTGGCACAGTATGTGACTTGTCCATTGATTTCATTTTGCAAGTATGTATTTCAAAAAACTCGTTGTCAGTCTCTAATTTGGGCACACTGCTCTGTAGGTGAACATTGACTTTGACACTGAACCCATTGGGATAGGGAATGATGGAACCAAGATCTTCTTCAAGGATATTTGGCCATCCAGTGAAGAAATAGCAAATGTAAGTGACTGTGGGTTTAAATATGACTTTGTCATCAAACCTTGCATATTAAATTTGACCCATCACTCTTTATAGCAGGGACTTTTCTCAATCTATTGTCCCTTCTAACATGTCCTACATCAGCTTTATCATTGTACCCCTCAAATACTGTTGTTTAAATTTAGTCAATATCAAATTATTTACTAAGTCCAAAACATTCTATATATTGTAAATTTAAACTTATTTATTTTAATTTTGTCACATCATATCAAATTTACTCTTAAATTCTGAAAGTCTTATCTCTAAAATTTATTCTTATGTAATAATAACAATTTCAAAATCTTATATTTTAATTTACTCCTATATGCTGATTTTTCATGATTTGTGTGGATAATATGTATGATTTGGATTGAAACAAATTAGAATAAGGGGTTTTCATAGGAGCTAAGTTGAGCTTGGTTCCAACCTGACCCAAAATTGACCAGAATGTGTATGGTAGAGAATCTGATAAACTTGATTTGTTTAATTAATATCAAATTTTAATATTATGTGTAAGCTAAATTATAGAATTAAAGTAGTGTAAACCGGAAACTATGAGATGCTTCAAAATTTATAGGTATATTGTAAAACAATATAAATATAATATCATGTTATGCAAAATAATATATGTTAAGTCTAGAAGTCTTGCATAATTATCAAAAAGAAATATAAATTAAAAAAAATGAGATACCATGTTGAGTTGGAATGACTTGAACCAGGATCTGTCTTCAAAATATTATCAAGAAATATACATAAAACCCAAACCGGTCAAAATTAGTTTTAGGTCAGGATGTGTATTGATCACCCCTAGTTAGATAGAATATCTCCTTCATTGTTTCCTTTTATTAGCTTGATTTTTCATACTTGATTAGTTAGTCCACTTGTTTCCTTCTGTTATTTCTTGTATATCCTTTCCAAAATGATGGGATTCTCCTTGTACTGTTATTTCTTCTATAGATAGTAGAGTTGAGAGGATCACTCTCAAGCAATATTCATACAGTTCTGAGTTTCCACACTATATAACAAAATAGACCTTTATCTAAACAATGAGGTCATTCTTATCATATTTTATTCCTTCTTATGACATGTAGTTTTGTCATTTTTGATAGCAGTGGCGTTCTATAAATTTATATTTATAGTTTTTTCCTATATTTCTGAATACCTGTTCTTTGCCCCAGAAACTTGGTAGTGTAATTGATCATATTTTTCCAATTTTCAGGTCGTACAGTCAAGTGTGCTGCCTGATATGTTTAAAGATACATACAATGCAATCACCCAAGGCAATCCCATGTGGAATAATTTATCTGTTCCATCGGGCACTCTTTATGCTTGGGACCCTACCTCAACATATATTCATGAGCCACCTTATTTTAAAAATATGACCATGTCTCCCCCAGGCTCCCATGGAGTAAGGGATGCCTATTGTTTACTCAACTTTGGAGACAGTATTACAACTGATCACATCTCTCCAGCTGGCAGCATACATAAGGACAGTCCTGCAGCCAGATACCTTATAGAACGTGGAGTTGATAGACGAGACTTCAACTCTTATGGAAGCCGTCGTGGTAATGATGAGGTGATGGCTCGAGGAACATTTGCCAATATTCGCCTGGTCAACAAATTTTTGAATGGAGAAGTTGGACCTAAAACCATTCACATTCCTTCCGGGGAGAAGTTATCAGTCTTTGATGCAGCAGAGGTAATTTTTCTAAACCATGCAATATGCAGGTATATTAGGCAATGCTTTTATTTTGCATCTGATTTCACTTACTGTGGAACTGTGTTCTATTTGATTGTCCGGTTGGTATGTTGCAATTGGATCTATAAAATAACAGTCAGCTATATCTAAGAATTCATTGTTCAACAAGTATCACCAAAATGGATACAATTAGAAAAAGATAAGGTCTCAATAACCTTATGATTCCTATCTTGTATGTCCAACTGTCCCACAGATTGGTAGTTGGCTTCTAGATAATCTTGTTCGCTGTCATATTATCCGGTGTAGATTGCAAAATGATCAATCTGTAAATCAAATTTCTAACTCTTCAACCTTCATTGATCCCTTTTGGTATTGACTCTACTTAATTGTCAGAGATACAAGAGTGAGGGGCATGATATGATTATCTTGGCCGGTGCTGAGTATGGGAGTGGAAGTTCTCGAGATTGGGCTGCAAAGGGGCCAATGCTACTGGTAAATTCTGGAGGCCTTTTATGCTCTCCCTGATTTATTTGTTCATATTTTGTTTAATTCTGAATTCGTTCATTATTATTTCAAGGGTGTGAAAGCCGTCATAGCAAAAAGTTTTGAAAGGATTCACCGAAGTAATTTGGTGGGAATGGGTATCATTCCTCTGTGTTTTAAGCCTGGGGAGGATGCTGATTCTCTTGGATTAACTGGCCATGAACGTTACACCATTGATCTGCCAAGCAATGTGAATGAAATAAGACCTGGTCAAGATGTCACCGTGGTGACAGATACCGGGAAGACATTTGTATCTACCCTGAGATTTGATACAGAGGTAATATTTGATCTTTCATCTCTCATGGTGTTGGTGGTAGTGATTAGTTTGTTGTTCCTTACACTTACTGCTTGACATTCTCCTTTTACGTGCTAATGTTTTTGTTACTTCATTACAGGTTGAACTAGCTTACTTCAACCATGGAGGCATCTTGCAATATGTCATCAGAAACTTGATTAATGCTAAACATTGAATCAGATTTAAACCAAGTTTGCAGGTTGAATTGCTTGCTTCCATTGGCGCGGATTCTGAACTTGGGTCTTAATAATCTAGTAGTATGGCTGCTACCAGGAAATCCACGCTATATTCAGCTATTGTCTTAATAAATCAAGGAACTACGTGCTGCTACAAGGAACAGTTATGACTTTCGTTTGGTGAAGAAATGTGATTGTCTTTCTCAAAATTTATGTCCTTGAGGACAACTCCTTAAATTTTTTACTGGTTTTACTACAGGAAAGTTTTAGTAAACATTTAGCTTCTATTGCTGCCATCCGACTCATGTGAATTAAGAAAATCAGAAATATTGATTAAAATTAAAGCATTGTGCCGTAATGTTCTCAACATAATAAAGTAATGGGGAAAGCTCTCGACGGATATTCCCCGTCTGTATTTGGTCGGGTGGAAAAAAGCGGGGAAGAAAACAAAAACAGCATTTGAAATTTACATTGAAGGGAAAAAAAAAAAATATATATATATATATATATATATATATATTTTTATTTATTTTTTTTTTTTGTAAAGTCAGTTCGTCTTATTTTTCGTTTTCTTTGAAGGAATAACAGAAAGTGCTCTTAATTTGAGAATTTCACTTTAGTCTTATTAGAGTTAAAGTATTTTATTTACTTTTTCATGTATTACCCATTTTTAACCGATAAATTAAAAAAAAAATAGAAGGTGGAAATGTGGGGGAGCAGACAGTCTATCTTCCCTTCCTCTGTAATTAATTTAGTGAATAATTATTTGTGAATATTAAATTGAGAAAATGAAAAGTAATAATATAGGTAATAATGTATACATCTGTCAAACATTAATATTTTGGCATAAATATTTTTTTAAAAACTAACTTTGAAAATGAGTTTAACCATTAGGTATATATAGTCTAAAATGATCTAATAACAACTTATTATTGATATTAAGATTATTATGATAAAAATTAATAAATTACTATACAGACTAGATGATAATGAAACGATATTTTACTGATGAGTGCATTTTTTTCTTTGAAAATTACCCATTTTCTTTTCACAAAATCTTTAATAATGTCTTAAAGTTAAATAATCTATATTTAAATAAGCAATTTTACCAAAATGTACAACGTCAACTCACTTATTTTATAACTAAAACTAATTAATCAAAACTATTTATATCTAAGAAAGTGATATAACAATCTACTTAAGTGTTGCTTTTAGTAAACAAACGTAGATTGAGCGTTTATAAGGTTTATTTAATTAGGATGAAGATTATCTTTAAAAAGGTATGTGAACTACTAAATAGGATAACTAATTAATTAATAGATAAACAAATATAGAACGGTCATTCCATCCATGGAGTGCTTACACACAATATATTATTCTACATACTTTTAAATTAATATCAAATTGATAGAGCTTATTGAAAAAAATTAAATTTTAATGATAGCAATAAATGATTAAAAAATGTTTAAAAATTCTCTGTACAAGAAATTCTGGACATTTTAAATTTGTAACATTATTTATTTCTACAAGTTTCCTCTTGATAGATAATCATTTTGGTTCTTCGAAGTATTCCAAAGTTTTAATTTAGCCTTGAATTTAAATAAATCAAAATAAAGATTTTGGAAATAATTTTAATATTTTCTAATCATTTTTCATTTCCAATAAATTTTTGTTTATTATCATTAAAATATAAGTTAATTTTTTTATATTAGGATAAAATATAATTTAATCTTTCGGTATTATCATAAACTCCAATTTATTTTATATATACTGATTAAATTAAATTTTAATAATAATACGTAAAACCTCTTTAAAACTGCGAATATAAAAAATAAAAGTCCTTCTTATAATATATTTTTAACATTTAATAACTAATCAGAAAAAATATATACATTAAAGAAGAAGAAAAAATCATTAAAACCTTTCCACTTTCTTAAGGAAATGGTTTCTAAAAAATGGAAAAGAAAAACAATCAAGTTCAAGTTGCCGTTGCATGCAAACACCTCCTCCATTCACAATAATTGTGAATAATTTGTAAAATCAATTAATTGCTACTTAAATTTCTAAAAAGTACATCTTTTAGAAATTATCATTGCACATCCTAAAAAATTGTTTATCTTGTCTTTATTTCCTCAACCAACTAGATCAAAGATTAATCTTGTTAGTGATATTGCAACTTTTCCTGATCCAGCAAGTTTTCACTGAAAATCGAATACTTGTATCCAAATATATGGATCTCCATAATATCTGATTGCAAAATATCTAACTACTACACTCATTGGGTCAATACTAATAGGCTTTCACTGTAACGTCAATTTATTGTGTATAGCAACCCCAAATTTCAAGAATTCAACATTAATTTTCCTCAGAAAATTTATAATTGTTATTAAAGGCCCCTGATATAGGGGTTTGAGGGTAACAACATGCAGACATATTACAATGATCACAACCAAAGGCAAATGAGTTCTCAGGAACAAAACTGGTATACTTGCTCCGTCTATCGGTTTCATACATTTTCTTGAACATCCCTATTGTAAATTAACCGGTACATATATTTTTTTTATTATTATATTTTCTAATATCATAAATGAAAAGGGTAAGGGAAAAAATGAGTTAGCTTACAACTGAACATCCAAAAGTACAGAATGCCACATCATGCTGTAAATATTTCCTTGCAGATCTGAAGCAATATCACGCAAAGCCTTGTCTCGGCATGACGAATTCAGACAAGCCTGATAACTAAATCGATCAACAGGAAAGATGATCAGCAACGACTAGCATATTAAATTTTATCAAACTAAAAGCAACAACTTAGTATAATACCATACAATTCGGTAATAAGTGAAAAATGTGAATCATACATATATCAGTTTTCCCATTTAGCAGTCTCATTCCTAAATAATTGAACAGTTTGCAGAAGATTCCGAGTTATTGTCACACGAACATATATTTTGGGACTAAATCTATGATCTGACTATCTTACCCTCAATTGAATCCAAAATCTTGAGAACAAGATAGTGCAACACAAATCAACACTAATGGTTACATTTTTTATAAAGCTGTATACAGTGCAAGCAATCTATTGCCCAAATTTCAGACAGTTAACACAAATGTAAAACATTTCCAGAAAAGCACGAATGTCACTCCTTAACTGTAAAGTGTAAATAACAATTTTGATAGTATCACAAGAAAAGGAGAGACCTGTAGTAATGTATATTCAAGCTTTGTATTCTTCAACACGCATCCATTTGGTACTTGACCACTTATTACCCTTAATCACTGGACAACCACCTGAAAAATAATCAAGAAAACAGTTTTGTTAATTTATTTCCTCAAGTCGCTACTAAAACTTATTATGTAGCAGCACCAACATAATAAAAATAAGAGAAACTAACCATGTAAGCTTGATGGATCTAAAGTTGCATCTGGCTTCATGCTCCAAAACAGTAGAGCATCGCCCCTCTTCGGCTTAATTGAAAGTCCTTTTTTTCCACATTCAGAAAGCTCATCCCACCATGGCACAGAACTAAAATTCCCTTTGGCAGCTGGGAACACTGTCTCGCCCCCTTCTTCAACATCAGTACTGCGTCATTAAAATACAAAAACAACAGAGTATGAACACCTTCCTCATATACAGGAACATCTGAAGCTAACAACTAAGAAAACACTTGATGTCACTTACAGATACATCAGCACTGTTGCTATACGCTGACCCCCATTCTTAGTGTTAAAATCATCAAGAAAGTAGTCATAGTGTGGCTCATATTTTTGTCCAACTTCATAGTGCAGAACTTGAAGTCCTTCACCGTGCTCTGTATAGTGTGAGACACAGCTTATGTAATGCTTTGTGAAGTATATAATGAAAAATATTCCAGTATCCTAGATCATAGACCAGAAAGGTTGATGCCAAAAGCAACTGAAAATATTCCATTAAAGGCACATGCACAACATCTTCAACCACTCAAAGCATCACAATCGTTGACAAATTGTTCAGCGGAGAAAAGCAATTTATGGCGCACAAATAGAACGGTTAGATATTATCATCATCTTAAATATGTAGGTGAACCACAAAAAAAAAATAAAAAAACTGACAACAAATGTTGTTAAAACAATATTTTAAAGTTAGTGTAAACAAGATAAGAAGTGCAAAATACTTACCAACAGGAATGAAAGTAAAGTCAGCAATTCTTTTCTCAATATTCCTGACAATCTTATCACGACCTCTGGACAGAAAAGTTCCAGAGCTTGTACGTACTCTAAATGTTAAAGGAAACATACAGGTTAGATTTATCATTTTGGCAGTTTAAATAACGTAAAAGAAATCATTATGATACCAAAGGACTAGGTACAAACAGGAAATAGTCCAACCTGCTGTCTTTGCTCTTTCCTGTTTCACTGTCGACAACCGTTGACTTATGCATACTGGGCTTTGCTATGTCAATTAGATAATCGCATTCCTTCTTCGTCTACCCAGATCAAGCAAAATAAGCTTTAGTATTCGGAAGGAAGAGACACTATAATGCATCATATTAAATCATTAATGCTCCAAATGAGCAAAAACCTTAACAAAGAATTAAGCATAATGCCATCCCGTCATTCGACCATAATTCAGGCAACGATAACTCAAAAAATTGCAACGATGTCAAAACCTTTCAATTATAAAGGCAGTGCAAAAAAGTCAAACTCCTAATCAAGTACTATAAGGAGTTAAAACACCATGAACATCTGCATCAAGATGAAATCTTAGCACTAAACCTTATATCCATTCCTCTTCAGCACAATCTTCCTAAATCTAACTCTAATTGCACTTGATCCTTAACATAAAATACACTGATATTAATATTACCAAATAAACCTCGTTCGATCAGAATTTTTTTAACAAACCAACAATACTCCACATTAGTATAAGTTTTCTTTTAATTTTCCAACATTTTCACAAACCACAACTTTTGAAAAGAGAAACGAGGACAAAAATTGGGAACAGAAATCACACAACCAC